ACGAGTTCAGTCCACGCTCTGTCCTGGGCTGGAGAGTGGCTTGATCTTGTAAATTCCCTCAAAAAACCTTCTCAGCTCTCCAGCCCAGCCCAGCTCTGTCAGTCTACCCTCCCAAAGAGCAAATGAAAGGACTTTGGATCTTGTTGCACCAGAGCAAAAGGATTTACAGCCCTTCGAGCTCTTCTGGGCTGATGGTGCACATCTGCATGCCACAACAGGGCCGGCAAAGGCAGCAAGATCTTCTCTGATGTAATTGTTTATGGCAATTCAGACCATTGGAGTGTCTGGCTCAAAGCTTTCTGAGTCCTGACATGGCTCGAATGACACTGCAGATAGGATTTCAGGTTAAAATTGAAGTGGAAAGAACTCGACTCCCAGTTTTGCTGAACAATGAGGGAATTTCTTGTTTCAGAGCATGTTGTATTTCAGTACTTCCAGGCTCTCCAATTGCTTTCCTGGAACTGTAAACCCCTTGCTATCAGATGTCTGCCGTGTATGGCAAGCAGCAGATTACACAAACCACAGTGCAGAGCCACAGAGCACAGCTGGAAACCCCTCACCTCCCTCCTCCAACTGGCCTGGGCCTTCCTCAGCCACTGCTGCATGTGTCATCCTCCCAGGGAAGGGCTGAAATGCCACATTTGCTATCACTGCAGAGGAGAAGCAGCAGAAGGAAGCACTTTTTGGGGGAAGAGGTTGTTCTCAAGGCCCACTCATCTGTGGCCAGGCTGTTGGTGGCACACCAGTGACTTCAGCCTCTGCCTTTTACTATCCTCTGATGTAATGAGCAGCTCTGATGGGCAGTCAGATCCTTTGTGAGTGCAGGTTACTCTCCAGGGATGTTCTCTGGGTGTTTCAGGCTCTGTGGCACTATTCCCTCGCAGCCTTACAGATGAGCAGATAAATGATAATTTTTTTTTTTGGCAAACCACACCATGACACTTGCACTGCTGATGGATGCCTTGCCAGAGTTCACCAGGCTCTTGTACTTTCCAGTGTCCCCACACAGTGAGGAGAATATCCTTGTTCTGCCTCACCCATACAAAAAGTCTGAATTTCCAGTCAGTCTCTCTGAATGCAGGTGCCCAAACAGTCCCTGGTGCTCTGCAAGGGGAAGGGATTTTCAGCCTTTTGTTGTTCAAACCAGAGGGCAAATGGCCACATTCAGAAGAGAGTCAAGGTCAAGTGAAGGCAATGAGTTTGTGTTAGAAGACAGAAACCACTAGGAGGGATAATATGTGGGCAAGCGGCTCAGGAAAGGTGCACATCTCTGGAAATTCCAACTGCATCTTGCACTGGTGCTCTGATTTCTCTCTTATGGCCAGGGGGACAACTGGCCCATTCCTCCACTGAGCAGGAACTGGGCTGAAAGGAGCAGTGTGAACTTGGACAAAGTGACCAAAAGATAGAGGATACTCATTTATCTCAGCCCCAGCTGCCTTGAGCCCTGCCAGCCACAGCTGTGAAGCTCATGGACCATCTCAGCTGCCAGGTTTGTTTGCTGAAATCCACTGGCGTTGAAACACGTACAAACTACCCCTGGAGACTCGACTGGGGCCTCCCTGCTGCTTTTTGTTTGAGATTCAAAACCACAGTGGAAACCGGTTTTCAGATATGTTAATGCTGGAAATGGCTGAGCCAAGTGAAAGCTAAAGATCTCTGAAAAACGTTTCCTGAGCACAGAGGGAAGTTTGGTTGTGCTCAGGCAGTCATGTGCTATCAGCATCAGGATGACCCTGTGGAAAATGAAGCCTTGCTCAGGAAAGCCAGATGTGCCTGTGCTGACTCCATGGATCACCAGGTGAGTGTCTCTCTTCCGCAGGACCCAAAGGGGCAGCACAGACCCTCTGTGCTCCCTCCAGCTTTCAAAGTTGCTCTGGGGTACATCCCTTCATCTGCCATCTCCAGGGAGCTCCAGGACTGCAGAGCCTCTAATCTCCTACCATCCTTCATGCTGGCCTGTGGCCATGTTAGGTGTGAGCTGGTGGTGCCAAATTGCCCAGCTCCAGCCTCTGCTCCAGCCAGGATACACAAAACAGGCTGAAAATGTACCAGCAGTGAAGTCAGGTCCTTTCAGAGCAATCTGGCACCTCATTTCCTACATCTGTCACAAGGACACTCGATAGTGAAGTGTCACATTCCTGCAGACATAAGCAAAATAAAGATTAAGACGTTTCCTTGGCATTGAGGACAAACCTTCAAGACGTGGTGTGGCTGCAGAACCCTGTGATGAAAAGGGTTTTTCCAGAGGTTGTTGCTGTCCATGGAGGGCATGTCCCTGTGGATGCTCCCTCTGGAGTAACACAGGGACAAGCCAAGGTTTAGGAGAACCTTTTGTGTGTCCACAATTCCAGATTGGCATCAGCTTCCTCAAATTAACACCAACCTCTTCCAGAAGCAGAAGATGAGCTTCACACCCCCAAATGGAGCTCAGCTGGTTGGCACAGGTAACTGCACAGATCCTTGTGTGTGCATCTCTCCTCCTAAGGGCACAGAAGCATCAACACCTTCCCTGTCTCCTTTGTAGCTGAGCAGGATATCCCAACAAATACTGGAGCTGAGGAAAAGCCCAGGAAAGCATCAGTGGATCCAGGCAGGAATGTGGTGAAGCACAGATGCTAGGACTTGGGGGTGTCATGCCAGGAGAGGCCAAATGGAGATGCAATAGCTGAAGTTCTCAACACCACCTAAACTGATTATTGGACAGCACAACACTGTCACATCAGAAGTGTTAGAACCATTCACAACAGGGTGGTGTGGAATCACTCAGTATCTGCACACCCAAACCCAGCATGCTCCCTCTCCCTGCACTCCAAGCACCTCCAACACCTTCCCCAACCAATTTCTGTGCCACCACACAAATCCTGGACAGGAGTTTGTCACCTTGGTGTCAGCCCTTGGGTGAGCAGCCTTCACAACTTCCCCATGACAAGATTTTTTGTTATCTTGGTCCAGTAGCCTTAAAGACTTCTGTGCACCATGCAGTTTGTGGTGGCTTTTGCAGCATGTCCTCCAGGGGATGGCTTGGCTGGATATTCCAGCTTCTAACCCTCAGCTGGAAAGGAGGGGCTTGCAGTTATCTCCATCTGAGCTGTAAACCTTATCTTGACAGAAATCTAAGGAAAATCCCACTGATATTTCTACTCTCCATGGGAATGTAGAATGAAATTCTCAGTAATGGGAAGAGGAAAATAATTTGTGCTTCTGTCAGAGGACTTCCATATTTAAATGACCTCAGTGAGCACAGGAACACCAGCCTGTGTATTAGGTAACAGTGTCTGGCAGGGCAGGCAGCCCTATCTGGAGACTGTGCAGGTCTGAAAGTCTGCCTGAGTTTAGGCATTAGGAAATTCAAAGAAGTATATTAAAATTGTAGATAGAAATATAGCACTTTGCAGTAAGAAAAAAAAAAAAAAAACAACAAAAAACCCAACAAACCAAAAGGGAGTGATTATGAGCAGGAATCTTGGCTCTATTGACTACTTTTTTTCTTTTTTAAATAAAACAGAAAACACCATCACGTTCCCAGGGATATGCTGGCAAACAGCAGGGACAGAGTCTGAGAGAATCTGTATTTTATACTTTATAACTTAATATGGCTTTTGCATGATTTTAGTATTTTTATTGGTTCTGAAAACATACACAATATAAACACGTGAAGCAGCCAGGAGTACAGCACACGGAGGGCGACTGCCCAGCCGTGCCAGCCTGCAGCTGGGAAGGAGCTGGGGTGCTGGGGACCACCCTTGCCTCTGGTATGATCTCAATCCTGAAAGGGCTCCCTGTTGGGTACAGGGGCCTGTGGCCAAGGGTGCCCTTATTTGGGGCAGGACTACAGGCTTATTCCGCACATTTATGGTGCTGCACTACAGTATTAAGCCAATGTTTCCACTTTCTAGTTGAGTCAGTGCTCAAACCCCGACCTCAGCCCAAAAACAACATAAATCCATCTCTTTTGCTGCTTCCATCCCCTCACACCCTTCTCCCTGCCCTCCTTTCAGCCAGCCACAACAGCACCAAAAGGAAAATCAACGTTTCACCACGGAGCATCCAACCAGGGCTCGGCAGTACCTGCTGGCCCTGCTGCTTCACACCCAGCCCAGGCTGGGATTTCAGAGCTGCTTTTAAACTTGGTCTTCTTGTTCCTTTTCCACAGATGTGTGGGGTTGGAGCTGGTGTGTTCCCCTGCTGCATGAGGGGTAAGACATGTGCCACAGGGGAGCAGTGCATCCCTCTGAGCTGGGCTGCCCCTCTGCTGAATGAGCCTTGCAAAGCCCCTGCTGCTGCTAACTCTGATCCAAGACAACAACCACAATGAATACACCATGTCAGCAACCTGGTAAACTCCACATTTCAAGCAGAAAGGCCTGACTTGCAGAGCAGCCCACTGGGGCACTGGGCAGAGCCTTCTTCCACCTGGCACTGCCTGCTTCCTCTCATCTCAGAGCCAGAATCAAACATTTTCTTTCTACAGCACCAAGATCAGACCTCCAAGTAACCAGACATGCCCAGGATATTCATTAAAGATTCAGGAGTCATATCCTGATGATTTCTTCTAGTTGTTTTCTATATTTAATGGGGAAGTCCTGGAAGGGAAGACCAGAAGCAAGCAAGTAACCATCAGAGAAGGCACAAAGTGGCCAATTCCAAACTCCAGGCCCAAGCCAGCTGTGGCAACCAGGGAAAAATCAGCCCCTCTCAGTCTTCTGGACCTCCTCCTTTAACACTGTGTGGGATCCATCCTACAGAGGTGTGTGAAGGAGGGAGGTACCATTTCTCAAAGCCTGTGGCAGATCAGATTCCCATTCTCAAGCGTGAGTCCTAGCTGAAAGACCAAACCATCTCCTGGACATGGTTTGTCATGAAAACAGCACGTTTTACCATAATGTTTAGGACAAGTTACAGCCCAGGGGAGCTCCTGCCCTGAGCAGTGGCCTGGGTCACAAACTCAGGCCAGCAGGGAAGCCAGGGGTCAGCAAGGGCTGGTTTCACAGACTCACTCGGACACCTGGGATGCCGGGATATCCTGGAGGTCCTTCCTTTCCCTTCAGCCCTTCACTGCCTTTTTCTCCTCTCTCTCCTTCTGGGCCTTGCTCTCCTTTGTCTCCCTGTGGAAGAGAGGAGGGTGGGAGGTTTTTATACCCACACAACACATGGGTCACTGTTCAAAGCTCTTGCGAGGGAAAACCCCACCACATAATTAATATTTCAGGAGTCTGAGAGGAAAAGAGCCTGCAAGAAAAGGGATGAATGAGGATGAGTCATAATACACTTGACATTTAAAAAAAGAGCAAACCCAGGTTTCTTTTCTTTAAAATCTCTTGGCTGAAGGAGAAAGAACTCCCCCATTACACAGAGTAACCTGAACCCCTTTGCTTCTCCTGCAATAAGGCCTGAACCTCCCACATGAATGAGGCAGGCAGACAAGATTTGAAAGTCTCCCTTGCCTCATCCAGAAGCCCTGAGCTTGGGATGCTGAAAGACTTTTAACAGGATGGGTTTGTCTGGAGCAGCTGCTCAGCTCCTGCTGCCAAACAGAAATCAGCCCAGGGCTCCAATAAACACTCTGTGAAACTGTGTCACTGTGCCCTGTAAAGGATCCATGGCCTGAGCAGTGGGTATGCTGTCAAATCACTGCTCTGACAATTACAGAATCACAGAATCAAAGAATCATTTGAGTTGGAAAAGATGTTTAAGATGAATTAATCCAAACTTCAACCCAGCACTGACAAGTCCACCACTGAACCATGTCCCCAGGTGTCACTTGTAGGGATAGTGACTCCACCATTTCCTGTTATGATGCTTGGACACCCTTTCAGTGAAGAAATTTTCCCAATACCCACTTAAAGCCCCCCTGGTGAAACCTGTCATTGAAATTTATGAAAAAATCTGGCAGATAATAAAATTTCAGTATTTGGCAAGATCGACCAACTGGAACATAGAGCAGAAATATAATCATAGAAGTGTAAGAAGTAAATTTATAGCTGCTTTTCTTTTATCAAAATAAATACAATATTGTAAATATTTTGTATTATTCAATACTACCACTCAAAATTATGTGGAGACAATGATAAAGGCCAGTTTTGTACTGAAAGAAACATGTGCAGCCAAGCAGCCTTGAACTGAACAATTTTCCTCTTGCACCTGTGTTGGGAGAGCTCAACAAGATCCCATCTGGTTAAAGAGCACAAACACATCTGCTTAAGTGTCCAGAGACACATTTGGGATGGAAAGAGCTGCTTTGGTTCAAGAGCTCCTGGGCACAGCCAGCAGTGCAAGAGAATACAGAAGCCTTGACTGTCCTTAAGGAAGAGATTTTTGGTCCAACATTCAGAGATAAGCAGAAGTAGAGACACATGGCAAATAGTTTAACTAGAAAGAAGCAATAAACTGCATTGTTGTGGGATGGGCTGCTCTTTCTTTCCATGGAACAAAATTGTTGGCCTGTTTGGAAAGGCTGGCTGTGCAGGGACAGGAATCAGAGCCCTGTTCCAAGGGCAAGGTAGCAAACTCCCAGCAGTGAGAGACAGAGAAAACCCTGAGTGAGATCCTGGGGCTCTGCCAAGGGAAGGGGATCTGGTTTCTTTACTCTCTAACATTGCTCTGGTCAGTGGTGCAGGGGAGAGTGATGGACAATCTTTGATTTCCCTTGCCAGGCCCAGGAATTCCTGATTAGTTGGAAATTTGATCTGTAAAGACTCAAATAAAACAGACAAATTGTTGGAAACCAGATTTTGAAGAACTTGACCTTTCTGGAGATCTGATCAGATGCCAAAGAACGTGGGTAGAGGAGTGAAACAGGAGGGGTTTGTTATGTGTGCTGCAGAAAAAAGCCCTTAGAGATTGCAGGGCAAAGGTTTATTCCACAGAGGACCCATTAATCCCCTCAGCCTCATCCTGGCTCTGGGAATCACAGGGACCTGAGTGCACAGGGATGTGTGTGGGAGCTGGAATTCCATGGAGTGAGTTTTACCTTGATCCCATCTGGCCCGAGCTGCCCGCTGTCCCCTTCCAGCCCAGGTTCTCCCTGTGGACAGAAGCAAACACCATAAGGCTGTGCCTAAATGTGCTTTTCCCTGAGCTTCCTGCAGCTGGCTCACAGCAGCAGCCAGCCTGCAGTGATGGGAGCCCAGCCCTGCACTCTAACACATGTCCTATCTCATACCCTAATGCTGAACAAGGTCTTCCTGGAGCAAGGGCAGGAATTCAGCCTCCTGCTCTATTCTGAGCCACAGTTTCTCCTCCACGGACCCGCTGTGGGAAAAGGAGCTCAGTCTGGATTCACTTAACCTGGGCCTTCCTCATCCTGCTCCAGCAGCTGACCTCGGTCCTGGGAAGGGACAGAGCCCCTGCCAGCCTCAATCCATGCATTCACCCCCCTGCCATGCCTGCACAGTGTGTCCAGTGTTTCCCTGCTAAAGCTGCCGCTGCTCCCGCGTGCACGGACACAGCCCTGGCAAACAGGAGGGCTCTGTTCCACCTCTGCCCCCACACTGCCCCTTTCACACTCGCTGTCCCTGAGTCTGAGAGGCTCCCAGACACTGCTGAGCTCGGGCTGATGGCTCTGTGGGGAAGGTGCTTCCCCCACCTGCAGAAGGAGCAGGGGCTGGGAGAGTTACGGGAAGCAGAGAACAGGGTCAGCCTGTCCAGCCTGTGGGACAGCAAGGACAGAACCTCTGGGAACTGATGAGGCACAGAAGGTGGCCATACTCACTCTTTGGCCAACGAGACCTTGCTCTCCAGGGATTCCTAGCTGGCCAGGATCACCCTAAAAGGAAGGAAGCACAGACAGAGAGACAAGCTGGTTACTGACACTGAGGGAGCGGGAAGTACTTCCCATTGCACTCCTCATTTTGTCTATTTCTTTCCTTCTCCCACACAAACACCTTCAGCTGAGTTTCCAAAGGGGGTTCAAAGGCCCAGCACAGGGGCAGCAAAGAAGGACACATCTCACAGGCTCTGTTGCAATGATGCAAAGATGGACAGGACAGGGTCACAGGGGGTCTGAGCTGTCTGAAGCTGCAGATCCAGAAGGAATTCTCTGGCATGGTCCTTCCCAGACAAGCAGCAGGGTGGGTGCAATGTGGTGTGGTGACCAGAGTGAGGGAGAAAAAAACCCAACAGCTCTTTTCAGCCCAGTTCCAGAAGAACCTGAATCTTTGATAGCAGTTAAATGAGTGAACAGAAGGAGCTGGCAAACAAATGGATCTTGCCAACGTGGCACTGGGGGTAGGATGGCCATAGGGCAGCTTCATCCCAGGTGTGCCCATCCAAGCAAGCTGCTCTGCATGCAGAGAGCTCAGGAAATGCAGAGCATTCAAGGGGAAAAGGTTCGAGATATCCATAAACCTCATCCCACAGCAAACTGCTCTGCACAGACCAGTCTTGGTCCAGCTCCTTCCAGCTTGGAGATGGAGCACGATGGGACTCTCACTCCACAGCTTCCCAGCAAGGCCAGCAGGTCAAGGGGAGTCTGTGCAAATCATCATGTCCTGACCCAAGGAGAGCCAGCCAGGAGCACTGGAGCTGAAAGACTCCTGCAGTATCAGGATGCCAAAGACACGGTAGCTCCAGTGAAGTGTCAGAAGATTTGCCAAGGAAAACATGGCAAAGGATGGGGTGGGGGGTGGAGTGAAGAGCAGCACAGAGGAAATTGCATTTAATCCACACATAGAGTTTGTTCAAAAGCTCTGCTCACAAGAGCAAATGTTCAGACCAAGTGGGTTAGGATTAAATAAAACCCCCTCTGAGCTGCCCAGCATTGGGTTTTTACTCAAACAAAGAGATGGCTTTTATGTCGACAAGAAGGTGCATTCATGGTCTGCAGCAGGGCACCCTTCCCCCTTAACCATCAGAGGAGTTCAGTCCCCAGAGAGCTGAGCCTTGGAAACTGTGGCAAGACCTTGTCTGAGGGTATTTTTAAGTCTGAGACCTTCCTAAGACTCTTCTGGTTTCGAATTAGAAGCTGCCTGGATCTCTGAGTCTCAAGGACTCCTCTCTCCGTTGAGATTTTGGATCTGCAAAGAGTTGAGCTTCATTTCCAAGGCCCTTCACAGCTCTTGAGGCACAAGATCCCTGGGATGGGGCTTCTCCCCAGCCTCTCCCTCAGGATGGGGCTCAGAAATTTGTAAAAAGGGCTAAAATTAACCCAGTTTTAGGTTTTTTAAACTTTATCTTTTATTCAATGCACTATCTGCTTTGGATGCTGGAGGGTAAACCTGCAATGTCACTCAGTCCTTCAGGAACACAAGTTGCCATTTATCTCCCCAGTCTGACAGAGAAACTGCACTCAGGGTTTTTCTTACCTTCATGCCAGGTTCACCTGCAAGACCAGGTTGTCCCATTGAGCCTGGCGGTCCCTGGGAGAAAAAAAACCCCAACAAGATAATGAAAAAACCCATTGTAACAAAGCAGAAAGCAAGATCAAAGACATAACTCCTTTAGCAGAGCTCTCCTGGGACAGCCAAGCCCTGGTTGCAATGCAATTACCTCCCTGGAGCTGGCTCGGGGTCCACAGCATCAAAGAGGCCCCTCCTGAGTGCCTGGGCTCTGGGAGGGCTCTGATCAGCTCTCACACCTCCCCTCTCCCCAGCCTCCTCTGCCAAGCACCTTTCTCTGCTCCTTCCAATCCCTCTGCTTTCTAAGGTTAGTAACCCCACCAGGGAGCAGCACTGGAAGCAGCTGGGATGGAAGGGAAAAGTCCGGAATTAGGCTTGGAAGCTCTTTGCAAGGGTCCAGCAGGCTGGGCTGGTGCAGTGGGTAACAGAAATGTTTGGCTGTGCTCTTGCTCTTGCTCCCTGCAGCCTCACCTGTCCATTTGCACCTGTGTGAGCAAATCCTCTGCACCAAGAGGCTCCTTCTGAGGAGGGGAAGCTGCCCCACATCTTCCAGCTGAGCCTTTGCCCCCCATTCCCCGACAGGCAGGGGCAGCTAAAGGGAGCTGAGGGCAGCAAGGTGACACTGAGCCCTCCAGCACAATTTTTGGCCAGATTAGCCTTGACATCCATCAGCCAGCTGTCTCTGGCTGTACAGGGCCAGCAGATATCCAAAGGCCAAGGCTCAGACCAGAAAACCCCAGCCCAGGCTGGACTGGCTGAGAGAAAGTTCCTCGCTCTCGTGTGAGCACAGACTGTGGTAGAGGGGTTTGGCATCCCTCAGAGAGCCAAAAATGAGTGCATGACCTGGGAAAAGATGGGAATTAAGATAGAATGATGGAAGATGTGAGAATGACCTTGCAAACTGTTCTCACTCAGTCCAGCTCCATGTGCAGCCCCTGAGAGGGGGGTCACAGCCATTCACTATCTTTAGTACCAAGATCTATTGGGAGCTTTCATCTCTGTACATTTTTTGCTACCTCTGAGAAGCGTGGGCAATGAGAGTCTGTAAAACAAGCCCAAAGATGGGACAGTAAAGCTTCTCTTTAAAGGATTTTAGTGGTTTATTTACTTATGATATTTGCATTCCAGACAACAATCTCCCTTCTCTTTACAGTTGGGAATAAAGGAAAAAAGAGCACATAGTCAAGGGAGCTACCCAGGGAATAAAGCCAGTTCCTGGCTTGCTGAAATGGATTCAAGCAGAGGAGGGAGCAGGGTGTGTGTTGGGTTTGTGAACAAACGCTCATGTCACGCAATGAGAAAATTCAAGCTCCAATGAAAGCAAAAATTCTGCTTTGGTTTCTCCAGAGGTGCCAGTGCAGAGAAAGGCTCCTGGAAGAGTTACAGATTTGAATGAAGGTCTGTACTTTCTTGGTTGGCAGCATCCAGAGTGGCTCAGTAGAGCTTTCCAGCTCCCCAGTGTGGTTTACCATGCTGAGAGCTCGCTCCATCCAGTCCAGCAGCCATGAGAATGGAAACTTTCATGACTCACACACTTTGCATAGACTGCATTCAAAGCCACCTTCACGTCTGTGTTACAGCTCAGGACCTACAGAAAGGAGCTGTGCAAGGGGCACTGGCACACGTGATAGAAAGAGCCAAGACTGTATTATTTTAAGAGGAGTAAATAAAGCCAGAAGTGCAGAGGAGTTGGGGGAAACCATGCAGGCATCCCCTGCACTCCATTGGGGCAGTGTTTGGCGGCTGCTGGTCGGTTTTGGTGTGTTTGTATCACTGCTTCATGGCAACCACAGCCCAGCAGCACCGTCAGCAGCAAAGGCGTCTCTGAGCTTCCTGCACTGGCTGCCTCGGCCTCTGCTGGGGCTGCCTCGGCCATCTGGGCGGGCTGGCAAACCTGTGTGTGTCACAGAGAGAGAGAAAGACTGGTACTCAGTCTGAATTGTGCTTGTATTGGCTCCCTGATGCCGCACCTTGGTGCAAAAAGCTGGTCCCTGCCGTGGTCACCTTTGAAATGTGTCTTCTGTTGAGAAGATGGGCCTGCACTTCCAGCAGCTGGGTGTCCGTGGCCTGTGATGGAAGGGGTGCTCAAATTTCTGATTTTCACTGTTTGTTTTGGAAGCTGACTGTCAGACTTCAGGGAAATCCTTCCTGCTCGTTCCACACTGCAAGGTGTGGAGGGAAGTTCCCCTGCACGTTCACTCCTCCCTCAGTCCTGCACTCCTGATGGTAGGGGAAAGCAAACAGCAACAAAGATCTGACCTACCTTGTGACCCATTTCTCCCAAAGGCCCGGGTGGCCCCTGTGGTCCTTGGGGACCCTGCAAAATAGAGACACAAGGCTCTTTTCATTTGTGAAGGGCCATCACTTCCATGGTCTGTAAGATAAAACTCCAGTTCCCTCCCACATCTCAGAGGAGTTCTCACTGCGCAAGATTTGGCTAGTGGGATGGGGAGGCCAGCAGTGGGTGTGCTCAGGCACCTTAGCAGGCAAAGAGCTCAGAAGACCTTCCTCCTCCTGGCTGCCATCTGAAACAACTGCAGTGGCTAATCTGAAAATGTCTGGTTTACTCTCTCCCTTCACAGTCCAGCACTGCTGGCCCTCTTGAGGTCTGTCTTTCCCCAGGGACTCCCCCACAGCTGTGGGCTCAGTTCTGACACCATCAGCCTCCCTCCTGCTCCTGCTTCCACTTCACCTACACTCCAACTCCTCCTGTTACATCTGACCCTGTCCCAGACCCAACCTTGCCCTTCTTTCCTACCTTTCCTTCCAAAACCCACCCCAGGCTGTATCCTACGCTCTCCCTGGTAGATCCATGGCTCCCTTTGGCTTTCCAGGGGTCTGACCTTGTCTTTCCTTATGGCTCCTAAGACTCTAGCCAAGCCTTTCACATCTCTGACCACCTTGGAGGTGGCAAGGACAGAGAAGCTGGGAATGGGATAAGTGGTGGAGAACAGACATACAAAGAAAGAAATCAAGTGTTTGTGTACAAGGAAGGACAGATGGAGAGAGAGTGATAAGAAACTTGCCGGGTCGCCTGGAGCCCCTTTTGCTCCCGGAGGTCCAGAAGGTCCCTGGATACCCTAGAAAAATTAAAAGCACCAGGGTCAGCTCCAACCCAGCAGCAATCCTTCACATTTCTCAGCAGAAATGTGCACCTCCAAAGTGCTCCAGTGACAGGAGGGGAGAGGCAGCCCTGCAAGTGTGAGATAGGGCCCAGATTCTTCCCCCTGGACCAGGACTCAAAACTTAAGGGCTTGAGGCTATGAAAGGAAGTAGAAGGCATGGACACTTACCGGGAAGCCGCGTGCTCCGGTCTCCCCAGTCTCCCCCATCTTGCCCTGTGGACACACAGAGCAATTATCACCTGGGGATGTGCTGACTCACCCGTGGTGCTCTGAGGACATGTGGGTGTCCCCAGGGCTGGCAGCTCTGGCTCTCACAGAGGACATACCTGCAGCCCATCTGGGCCTGCCCTGCCTGGCTCCCCTGGTCGGCCCTGTGAAACAAAGAGACAAAGACATCCAGCAGCAGCACAAGCTGTTGGTGATGCTCTTCTGCCCCAACCCATCTGCTCTTGCATTTTTATGCATCAAATTTCCCTTTCCCTTCCTTTCCCTGCAGCTTTTGAGAGGCCAAATACCTGGGATCATGGCCCAAGGAACACCCAACCAGCTGGGAGTGTGGGCAAGGGTCCTGATACCAATGCTGGATAGATTTTACTCTGGGTGAAAGACAGACTCATCCCTGCTGGTTGATCCTCATGGAACAATTGAACATCCCTGTTCCTGGAGGAGGATGTGACCTTGATCCTGCCCAGAGCATTTCACAGCAGAGCTGAGAGCAGCCTTGGCACTCACCTTGACACCTCGCGCCCCTGGCTCGCCCACGGGTCCATCAGGCCCTCTGGCACCCTAGAAGGAGGCAAAGAGAGGCAAAAATAAGAACACAGAGGATATGGCTCACTGGAAAATCCAGCTGTCTCTTTAGCCTTGGCCACCAGGACAGTCCATGAGATCAATCCTGGCTTAGCCAACTTATACCTGCTTGGGTTGAGCACAGCAGCTCAGAGCCCAGGACTAAAAAGTTTCTTTCTGTGTTTTGTTGCCTCATTTCTCACTGTTACCAGCACACAGCACTTTTTATTCCTGTTAAACCAACTACCAACCACTGACCCAAGCCAGAGGAGAAAAGCAGGCTAGGAACAGCCTTATTTTCAGACAATGGTTACATGACAACACTTTTGCAATGCACAGACAAACCTGCAGTTCCAGCCTTATTGACAGCAAACTTTTCCTTCCTAGAAACCTTGCTTTTCCAACACCTTTGCCCTTAACCCTTGCCACACCACACTGTCACATGCTCACAGTGGTGGTATAGAGGTGCACAACCCCCACTGTGCAGTACCTTCACATTGGGCCCCAAACTCCTCCCAAAGGGAAAGTTGTATTTGCTGGCAGCTGAACACCAAGGCCTCAGCTACAGCTGAGTGATGTTTAAAGATCTGGCTGCTGTTAAGGACCAGGCAGGTGCTGGTGCATGTGGAGGTGGGGAGGGTCTGGTGCCATGCCTGGATCTGCTCCTGGGTGTGTAAGTATGAGGTGGGCACAGGGGCCTCAGGAGGTGTGTGGGACACACACCCTGCTGCAAATGAGCAGGTGTGAGCAGCTAAAATTAAATAAGCAGTTCATGGTATAGCTTGGGCATCACTGAGGAAGGGGTATCCTTGTTCTTTTAGAGGGTTCCAAGTGAGGAGAGTCCTGGGAAGAAGGTAAGGATATGATCAGAGAATCACAGAAAAAATGGTTCAGTTGAAAGGGACTTTAAAGACCATCTATCTTTCAAGGGAAGCTGAACACACAACCCTCTACACCATTTGACCCCCAGAGACCAGTGTGTCACACAGATAGAGAATAAAGAGCCACAGTGAAGGAAAAGAGTTAAAAAAGGGCATATGAAGAGACTTTATTAACAGACATCATGTTCATAATCAGTTCATGAGCTCAGTTAGGACACTCAGGCAGTACTGCAGTATAAATAATAAATAAAAGCACAGAGCGGTGCTAGAACGTAGTGGTAAGAGGAATTCTGAGAGCTGGCCAATGCAGAAAGGGAAAACAGGAGCCAATGTGCTTAATCGGGATGCAAACCCAGTGCCAAAAGTAATAACAGGGCTAGGGAGCCAGTGTGTTAGAAAAGCAACTCCAGGATGACAGGCAAAGAGAGAGACTCACAAAGAAAAGCAGTGTACAGCAGAAATGTATAGGAACCCCAGCCAAATTATTACAGCAGGCAAACATTGTCAATATAAAATAATGCAAAAACTCCTACTGAGCTTGGCAAAGCCCTGTGCTGCTCAGAGGAGCAGAGACTGAATAACCAAGGGCCTGTATTGCACTGCCGGTATGGCACAGCTCTGAAGAATGCTCAGCCTGGCCTCCAGGACAGACAGACAGACAGACAGACAGAGGGCTGTGCCCCAGATGGGATCCCCACAACACAAGGGGTGTTTCACAGCTGGGGCTGTGCTGCACAAATGTCACAGCACCTCTCACCAGCCCAACACCCCAAGTGCTGTGGCTCATGCTGGCCCCTAGATCAGAGAGCAGTAAAGACCAAAAGTTTTATTAATCCATGTCCCTATAAACCTCAAAGCACAATGACAAAGACCAGAAGGTCACTTAAAAGCTGGGTACTGACAGCTCGAGTCAGACAGGCCTGTTACTGGGGGTGGTGGAAGAGCAGGGCTGGAGGCACCTTGGAGGCTTGGAGGCCCACAGATACCCAGAGCTGCGCTGGAAGGGAGGTGTCAGCATGGGCACCACGTTGGCACTCTGGGAAAGCACCCTCCACAACCAAATGCTCCTCCTCCCTGGAAAACAAACTGTTCCCCTCTTCTTTGAGCAGCCTCTTGGATATTTTGCGCAGTTACATCTTTACTGTCTGAGATGATGTGGTGAGCTGCTAGTGAAGCAGGGGGAGGATGTGCAGAGGGCAAGGATTCCTTAGCTCAGGCCTGGAAGAGGGAACAGGGATCAGAAGCAAGTGGGACATGGGAATTACAGTGATGACCTGGGTTAGCATTGGGAAGGAAACTGGAATGAGTCTGGCCCCTCCAGACCCATCTTCTGCAGCCTGTCCTGCCCTGCCCAGCCCCTTTGCCAGTGCAGGGGCTGCTCTAAGCTGGGTGGAGGCTGTTGGGTGCCCTCAGTGATGGCTGTGGCTCTCACCAGGGCTGGCTGGCTGGCTGGGGAGGTGTTTACAGAATCCTCATCTCTTCCAGCAGAGCCCTGTCACCAGCACGGCAGGATCTGCCAGGGCAATCTCCCTTCACAGCAGTCACCTGCCTAATCCCATCACAGCACATCCCATTGGCGTCTGGCCTGAAGAAGGAGAAAATGACACTCTATTCTCAAACACAAGCTTCATCTTCTCTGGCCTCCTGGGCTGAAACCTGGCATAAAGGCTTCCCCTAATCCACCCTGACAGGAAAAGCTACATTTAGTCAATTAGTTAAATTTTTAAAACTCTCTTTTACTGACAACACTGGCTAGAGATGAGTGAGTGAGGTCCTGGCAGCTCTCCAGGGTGCAACCCAAAGCCAAGAGCCTCAAGGCTCCTCAGAAGACCTCAAGTTGCCTTCCCCCTGCAGATCTGGCAGATTGGCCTTGCAAGCAGGGCTGAGCACAGCCCTGGGCTCCCCTTGGACCCTCAGTGCAGGCCAGGACAGCATTTCCCTGTGCTCAGCCACACCGAGCAGTGCTCAGAAACCCCAGGCTAAACAAGGGCTCCCACGGTGGCTGGAGGTGACAGCTCAGAAAGGCAGGGGAACCCAGCTCCAGGCTTTGCCAGTCCAGGTGAGGCAATTGTGATGTATCCTGCTGCTAAAGCAGACAATGCTCCTGCAGAACTGTGTACTCAACAAGGTGTTTCTGCAGAGCAGTGCTGCATTTCCTGCTGTTAAACACCAACTCAGAGCTCAGACAGACAGTGACCAGCCTCTCAACAGCAGCATGAAGCAGCAGTCAGTAGCTCCTTCCCAGAAAACCAAAGCTCCTTCCTTACCCAGTTATCCAAATATTGATATTTTGCTATCACAGCCTGGCCAAACAAAAAAGCAAGCAGATGCCTTGAGTGAAGCCAAAGGGAGACATCCCTGGCCACGGATCTGGAAAGAGCTTTTCCTCAAACACTTCTAAGGCTTTCTCAGTCAACTAGAAAGATCCTTGGAAGCAGAACAATAACCTTCCACTTCTCCATGAACAACAACTCAGCTGGGCTTGGAAAGGCAAATATTTTCAGGTTTGCTTAGATAACACCACTTTACAAATCCCTGGCATTTATAAATTCCTGCAGTTGGTGATGCTGGAGATCATTGGGTCCAAGTGGCAGAGGCAGCAATTCCTTCCCTCTGGCATGGAGCAGCAAAGGGCCTGGAGTGCAGATGTGCTCCCCTTTCCTTGGATTTACCTGGGCAGCAGCTGGTGCAGGAGCTGGATGAATGAATGGCACAGTGGAAAAGAGAAATGTGCTTTGGGATTTCAAAAGCTGCCCTGTATCACCTGAGCCAGAACCCAGCAGTGAGAGGATAAAATTCTAGAAACAGTGACAGGCACCTTGGCCAGGAGAACAGGGCAAGGTAAGGCACTTTACAGCAGGATTTCAGGTGCAGCTTTATAATGTGAGTTACAAAATCATGCCTCTGGTTGATACTCAGCCTTTCATAGAGAATCCCAGTCTTTTTGGTGACATTATCCTTAGGAGACCACACATTTTCCTGCTGTGAGGAGCAGAAATGTGCTTTAGGATTTAAGTGACATAGGGTGAGGGGCTTGTTGGACCAACTGCCTCCAGATTTAAACCTTGATTTGGTTAAATAATTAGGTTTAAGCATGTACATAGCTGTCACTAGCTGGATGTTAAGCACATATCCAAGTGCTACACTGAGTACAGATGAAGGGAAATGAGCCTGGGCTCGCATGTCCAAGTTTCTTCTCCTTAGGGAAGACTAGAAAGGAAATAACATTTGAGGAAGATTGTTCAGTATCAGTTTGGTGGAATAAACAAAGAGTTGTGAAGGAACAATGCTCTGTCAGGACTAAAAAGAAGGCTACAATTTAAAAAAAGCTTTTCTTTTTAGAATATACATATCTTTGACACTATAAAAGCTATCACAACATAAATGCAGACCCCAAAAAGTCTCCATTGTTCTTTACAATCAAAACCATATTTGCTATTTACGTTTCCTTCAAAAGCAGAATAACTTTAATGAAGCATCCACAAACAGAGCTCATGGAATCCACAAACATCTGGCAGGGGCTGCATTCATGTTTCCACTCTGAATTGAATTACATCCCTTCTGTAAGCTGGGACAGACATAGGGTAATGGCTGAAATTACAGTTGGGGGATCATTTCCCCATCCTGGGTAAAGCAAGAGCTGGAATCACAGGAGCAAGTGAGCAAATATAGGATGCTGTGTGCATGGAATATCTTCTGAGAGTATGAAGAGAATGAAAATGTGAATGAGAGAGATTTGAGCCAGAAATCCTCCAGGCAGGAGATCTGCTGGTTCTTACAATACTGACTCCCCTACATCATATCCACTGAAATCTGTAGAATTTCACAGCAAAGCCCAAGTTTGTCCTTCCTGCTGGGGATCTCAGAAAGTGCATCTCTCTGCCTCACAAATTCTGCATGGATGAAATCACTGCAGTGCTCAAACAACAGCAGATCTCCACCACAGCACAGCCCAGCAGTGGGAGCTGAGAGGAGGAGCACCAGCAGCAGATCCAGAGGCTCAGTCCTTGCTGGTAGAGCTTTAGGCAGAGTTTTACCCCTCTTCAATACTGGTGTCCTTAGGGCAAGACCAATTCCTTAATGCTCCCTTTTCCCCAGGCACTGCCTCCTTTCTGCCTCAATGCTCTGCACATCCTGAGGTGACTTTCTGCAGGCACTGCAGCCTGTCAGGGTACAGCCACTGCTGCATTCCTGGTTTGCAGGGCTGGGATGCACTTTGAAGTCTGGCTCCCTCTGTGGAGGCATGTCCAGAGGGAGTGAGCAGCACAGGACCTGCTGCACTGAACGTCTGGAGAGGAAATGTAAAGCCAGGCCATGCAGCTGAAGGTCTCTGCTATATGATATGTCATTCTGAGGATGGACAGGGCTGGTGGCAGCTGATGTTCCACAGGATTTCTCTGGAGGGTTTGACACCCTCTCTCTGGATCCAGCTACAGCCAAAGGCAAATCCCTGATGTCCCAGGCAACCTCCTGTCTTGGGAGCTGAATCCAGCTGTCCTTGTGGGCTGAGGACTGGAGGCCAGCATGAATGTAAGAGGCTGAAGCAGGTTTATGAGAGGGAATCTTGGACAACCCAAGAGCCAGACACTGCAGCTGCTGTGCATGCCTGCTGAAAGGAGAAGCTCAGGGGCAGGGATGGGGATGGATCTCTGGCTGGCAGCTGGGAGGAGGCAGTTCCAGGACTTCTTTTTCTTGTCACTGCAAACATTAAAGGCACTGGCAAAAGCACCTGATCCCCTGAGAGGACCCACCTCTCCAAGAGCCCTCACATTCACAGCCTGGATCCATCAGAAGGTGTTTCCTGTTCAACCCTGGGCTGCAGTTTCACCTTGGGATATTTTCCACCATCCATTCAGAGCCTGCCATGAAGGAACACCTCCAGTTTCTCATCCAGCATGATCATGGATGTCCCAGGCAGCCCAGTTAGTCCCTGCTGGGCAGCACAGAGGAACCACACTCCCCAGGGGCCCCTCTGCAAGTGGACCTGGGGAGGGAAATCCATGGGCCTTCCCACCAAGGAACACAGAGCAGCGGGAGCTTCTTCCCAGTCACAAGTTAAAGATGAGCCCTGATAAATATCTGCCTAGCTTGGATGTTACTGGCATCCTTCTAGATGTGATTTTAAAGTTTAGAGCAGTTCCAGGGTACATAACTCCCTGGTTACAAAGATTCCTAGTTGGTTATTCCATTTTCTTTTGCTGGTCCCAGCTATTTGAAGAAAACATTCACTCTGGCATAGGGAAACACAAAATTGTTGGCTGTCCTGAATCCCCCAAGCAGAAGTTGCAGAAGAAGCAGAGATGGGAGTAGGTAAAATGTATAGTTTACTCCATTGAAATGAAACACAGAAACAGATCCTTGGAGGGAGAAATGCAAAATATGTTGTTGTTGGGGCCTTCAGCAGAATTCATGTGTGCTCGCTATTAATACTTTGTAAAGCAGCTGGACAAGGAAAAACAATCCAAAGCAGGGATGCTCCTGCAATAAATATCCCCTTGGAGAAGAAAGATTGAAGAGCTCAGTGGGACGGGGACTGGATGTCACAGGCAGGAAAACAAGCAGCTTTGGCAGGTCTAGAGGTCATTGTCCTGTCGGCTGTCACCCAAACAGGGCGGGGAGAGCCACACAAGGACTGACTCTGAGTGTCTGGGAGCTCTTTTTTGAGGGAAATGTGAGCTCACAGCACTGCCAGTGGTGCCAGGCAGTGGCACCCAGCACGAGGCTGGGGACTGCTCTTGCCAGGCAGGGTGAGGAGTCACCTGTGCTCACAGGGTGGTACACTTCAAATCAGGGCTGGAAAAGTCCTTAGAAAGGCAGAGGATGTGCTTTTAATTTGATCTACTGACAGTGCAAAGCACACCTTCTCACATGCCTGTGGAGCCCTGCTGGGAGGTGTCAGTCCTGTGGGACTGGAGGGGAACACATGGGTAGAACAGCCCAGCTCTATTTCTGTCAGCCTTGTCTCTTAATTCTGTGTCATGACATAACATTTCCTCCTTCATCTGCCTCTGGTTATATCACAACACTTCGTATCTCAGCTACTTTTTCTCCCACAGCAACAAAGGCACCTGTTCTGGTTTTCTACCTGCACCCTTTCCCACAATTTCAGGCAACTAAATCTTATCCTCACCAGAAGCATCCATAAACTGTATTTTGACATGGTAGATAGTTGGAAAAGACAGGCTGGACCACTTCCATGATAACCTCTGCTCTGGCACCCCCCTGCCCTTACACACCCTTGCATCCACTCCCCTGGTAAGATTTGTTCCAAGGACCTTTATGCGCAGCAGAAGTGTGTCTGCAGAGGTGCTGCCCAACTTCTGCTCATTTCACATCCCCAGACCAAACCAGCAAGTTATTTTTCCAGTGTCTGGAAGAGGAGAGGGATGAAAGCTCGTGGACAGTGCTTACCCTGCGGCCTTTCACCCCTCGGATCCCTGGTGCACCCCGGGCTCCTGCTGGACCCTGCAAGGGGAAAAAGGACACAAAATGAGGAAGGCAGCAGCCTTGGTAGGACCCTGCATTCCTATGTGATCTGCAGGGGACTCACATGCAGACCTGTGACCAGCAGATTGGTTCATTAAACACTTGCTAAAAACATCACTATTTTCACTTGTCTATAAATGCCCTTTTTTTTTTTTTTTTTTAAGTCACGGATTGTCTTTGGATTGTGAACATTTAGGCCAAAGATCCTGGCTAAGGTTTGTATGCTTAATGACCTGCAGGCTGTTATCTGTGTCAGTGGTGTGATGTGAAGAGAAGTTGAACATCCAGAATCCTCTCTGAATCTATTAAAAGCAGCTGTTTCTCAGCATCTGTTCAAAAATAATAATAACCAGGATCTGGTTTTTAGATGTCCAAATACAAAATCAGACACCTCATCTTGGGTATCCAAGTTTGATCTTTTCAGCCAAATACTGACTTTATCTTTAAGTAACTGTTGCCCTGTTAATGCTGCATAAATATTGATACTGGCAGATAGGTGCTAATTTAAAGTGGACTGATGGTGTTGTGGATGATCCTGTTCTCACAACAAAAGAAGGATTTCAGGTTTTCTTTCAATCTGGATTGGTACACATATGATTCATTAATGTGCATACAGAAAATGCAGAAAGCCAGTTATTTTTCCCCTGCTAGAATATTTATCAGAGTAAAAAAATAAAGGACGTATTTATTTAATAGGACTTAATTCTGTATCACAGCTTTTTAACCTGATATTTAAAGTCAGTGCCTTTCTGCTGTCAGAAAAGAAAACCTCAAAATGACACATTCACTCCTTGCTCTCTCAAACATTCCACATCAAATTTGGCTGTTTACATGTTAATAGCTCTTACCAACTGTCAGCCCTGCAAATTCCACAACAGATCAGAAGAGAATTGGACTGTGATCTTCCTACTGCTCCTATAACTGCCATTTATGAAGATTTTGCTTTTGTGCATGGCATGTAAGTTCAGGATACAAATGCTGAGCTGTTCTCACTCAGAATGGAAAAGTCAGTTGACTGTAACTGTATTTGTGATCACAGTACATCTCAGTTTTGGTAGTGAGGACAGTGGTGACTGGCACAGGCAGTGGATGTGTCAGATGCCTGTTTTACAGAGATTTTTATGATAACCATGTACTGAAATGAAATCCTTAGCTGGTATTTGGAATCTCCTCTGGAAGTCTCAGCCTATCCCAAGCAGCTTATGAAAGTACAAGGACAGAAACATTCATTGTAATGGAAAATGTTGAGGGAATAGCTAGATACCCTGCTGGAATTCCAGTGAACTCTTTGGAAGGTAAGTGACCTTAAATATTCCTATATATACATATTATTTCCAAAACTGTATATAAACAGAAAAGATGAAGAAGAGTAAGAAGTGAGTAAGAAGAGGAAAAAGGAATTGACAAGCCTCAGGAAGCTAAAACCAAGGGCAAAGTTTCCTACCATTGACTTTGCTCCCCATTTCCAGTCATCCCTTGTTGAATTAATCAGCCATCACTGCTAAGGCTCATTCAAAGATTTTAACAGTTTAGGACAAACAACAACTGCTGCCTCAGGTCTGGCTTGAAAGGCAAATGAGGAATGTTTGGTGGAAAAACAGCTGGACTTAATGAGTAGGGATTTGATATTAGGAGATTATTTGATTTACTGGCTCTGTGGGGAAGTTTGGCTTATTGAATTATGACTTTTTAAAATGCAGTTGTGGAGCAAACATTTTACTTGGACGATCTTATTATTTGCCTGAAGGAGAAGAGGGAACTGAAGGAAGCAGAAGGACCTGGGGACGGTCTCAGCTCCCAGAGCTTTGCTGAGAGGTTTTGGCATCTCCACCTGGATCTGATGCCTCAGCTCTTTCTATTGTTATGCCCCAGTGAAGACAGACAAAATTTGGCTTCACTTGAAGGTACATTTAGTGGTGCATGGGACGGTGCTCAGGGCTGGAGCTCTCTGCCACAGCACAGAAACTGCCTTGGCCATGGGTGCTCACAGGCCTGGAGCAGGAGGAGCCCAATGCTCCAGCTGTCCCCAAGTCATGTGGCAGCTAACATGATGGGAATTTGTTAAAAATGAGACATCTACTGATATGCAGCTGCCTGTAGGGTTCTGTCACCAGCAAGTGCTTCCACGAGGAGCCACAGAGCAGCTCAGTGTTGGGGGCTGCGTGTGGCATCGTGCTGCTTTTATTGTAAGGACCTGGCTGGTGTCACTGCTGCGCTCCAGACAGAGATGGGCCACCCTGAGGTGCTGCTTGAGCTCCGATTTTCTCTTTTTCTCACCTCCACTCACTTGTTACTGCACAGTCTGTGCCCAGCTGCCTGCAGCCATGCACCCAGAGCATCCTTGAGCTCCTGGCAGTGGCACAGCTGACCCTGATTTGGAGGCCACACCTTTGGCACTTCCCGGGCATTTCACTGCTGTGATCTTCCTCCCAGTTACCAGCACTGTGGGAATTCACACACTGAGCAAAATCCATTCCCTGTACCCACCCAGGGCAGCCTTTTTGTTGGCTTCAGCAGCACTTGTGCTGCTGGGAGAGCCCGAACTACATCTAAAGAACATCTGTGGGAAACTGGAGCCAGGCTAAAATCTGCCTCCATGGTGATTGCATGCTCCAGCCACAGCTGCAGTGTGCCAGACAAGCCTGTCCAGATGGAGGGTCTGTCTGGGGGAGCTGCTCTGCTGCTCCTCTCATGCCAGCAGGGGCTTTGACCACGCAGGATGGTCACGCTGCATGCCATGGTCACTGTGATAAATGACCATGATAAATCACTGTGATACATCACTATATCACATATCACCACAGTGCCAACCATTCCCAGCCCAGAACACCTTGAACTAGGGAGCTTGTGTCCTGCCAAAAGATTGAGGCTGGATTGTGACTTTTGCAACCCTCCTCAGGAATATAAAATTTTGAATTAAGCACTGTGCTGTTGTCACATTTCTCTTCATAGAGAGAAGCAAGGCACAATTCTTCCCAAGGATTTCTGAGATTCACATTCTCTGAACCTCAGAGAAAGGGAAAACTCAATTATTATCACTTGCTGTGCCTGTGTTGTGCCAAAGTAGAATGCAGTATAGAGATTGTTTATCCAAAGTGAAGATGTTTTGTTCCCTTGGCCTATTAGGGCCAAGAGTGGTGTGTGTGTGGAACTGTCTGCTGACAGTCACGGGAGAGTCAGGAGATGAGTGCAGTTGTGTGCAGAGTGAGTGCCTGGCAGATTCAGTTTAGATGAAATGTATATAGTATAGTATAATAAAGTAATTAATTAGCCTTCTGATAAGACAGAATCAGTTGCATCATTCTCTCTCCCTCACCAGCATCAGAGTTGCCTTTGATTTACAATACTGTGCTTTTTTGTGTCTCTTTCCATGTTGCTCCCACCCATGTGCCATCCCTCTCCCCAAATCTCTGGTTTGTATCAAACTCAAATAAATTGGAATACTGTTGCTTGACTTAGCCCATGCACGCCCAGGTTTTGGTGTTACAAGATGATGATAGCCTTTACTTACTGTTGGTCCAGGGATCCCAGGAAAACCCACTCCTCCTGGCATCCCAGGGTGTCCCTAAAAGGGAAAGAAGAAGAACATGCCTGCTGTGAATGTCCACAATCTGCACAGACCTTCTTCCTCCCAGTGGGAAGACAGGAAAATTGCATTTTTGGCTGCTTGCAAGGTCAGGCAGATCTGATATTTGTCAGGGTAAAATTGCTCAGGGGCAGAAGGAAATGGCCAGGCTGTCACTAGCCCAGCTCCAGCCCGGCCAGCGATATCAGCAGCAAGATTTTCTGAACAGCCCAGAAGAGAATGGGCTGAATTAATATGAAAATATGTCTTTGTGTCTTGTACTGCAGTAGACAGGAAACAAGTGTCAGAGCAAGACAAGATCCAGCTGAGGACCCCACTGTTAAATTCCTAAACGTAGTTCCCTGAAAGGCAGAGCACAGCAAGGCACAGTGACTGTGCTCCCAAGCATTTCCAGTTGCCCTGGTCAGTTTGGACAGATCCTTGTTGGTGGGCACTGTCTGTTCAGGAGCCAGGATGGCTGGGAACAGGCAGTCCTTCAGATCCTGGGTGTCTCCACTCGACACCGCAGGCCTCAGCTGATGGAGCCACAGAACACACCTCAAACCCCAGTGAAGGCAAAACTGCTGGGCTCAGCTGCTGGGGAGAGGCTACACCTCAATATCCACTCAAACGTCCCCACAGACACGGGAAGAAATTGCAGCTGCTGTCATGAAACTAAAGGACAGGAGAAGCTGCACCCTTGGCTAGGACAGACAGAGGTGGCAGCAAGAGTGAGAGAATGCAGACTTACTCCTTACCATCGACCCCTTGACTCCTGGAGGGCCTGGGGGTCCCACTGGGCCACGGTCACCCTGGGAGAGAGACACAGGAAAGAGTGATCTAGAGCAATGAAACAACTAAAAAAATCCACAAATTCATGTCTATGCCATCAGCTTTCTACAAGAAATGATTCCAGCATTACTCTCCTTCCATCCATCTCATCAGAGTAATGGAAGAATTGCAGGAATTAACTAATCCTCCACATCCCAAGAGAGGGGACTTTACTCTTGCCATCAAAAGCACCAAGGTATGAAGGAAACAGGCACATCACCTTCAATTCCAAACAGTGCTAGGGCTGAGCCCAAGGAAATCTCCAGCCCTTCCCACCCAAGGCATGACGTGCCTGTTCTGCAGTATCACAATCCCTACACGTGCTGGCATTTTCAGAGCCATGGATTTGAAGTCTGTTGTCACAAGGCCCTGCTGAGAGCAGGGAATCCAGCTGGAAAATCCAGAGATGCTGCCTGGTGCTTTCAGAGGAGACTGTGGGTGTTTTGGGGGAACTCCCTGTCCCGTGGCTGTTACTGAGACCACAGTGCCAGCAACAATGACCTGCAAGTCTGATTTATGAGGGGCTCGGAGCTGGATGACTCCCCAGCCCACTCTAAAGATAGGATCCCTTCTAAAACAAGCAGTTAAAAAACTTGATGTACCAAAACATCACTTATTCATTGCAAAAGTCTTTCTTATCCCCTCATGCAGACCATCTCACTTCCCATGAACATGTTCTTGACCCAAAGGTAGGAGACAAGAGGGCCAAGCCCCCACCAGCACCACCACAAGCTGATGTGAGGTGACATGAAGGTGTGGCTTTAGAAGTGGGACTTCAACAGCCCCTTTGGGAGATGGTGGTAATTCCCACACAACTGTCTGTAGTCTCCCTCCAGCCCCAGGGGTGCATTGGGAATTAGGTGTGTTAGGTTTGTATGCTCAGGGGGATGAGGAAGAAGGATTTAGCAAAAGCTGCCAATTAGTTTACGCCCAAAATCTGACCTACCTTCCAACAGCAAAAAGTGTAAGGGGAAATATTTTCTAATAAGCTCTAAGGAGCTTATTAAAAACAAACCCCAGAGTTTGTGTTGTCACCAGTTGGCCCTTGTAAACCAATGTACAGATTTTTTTCTCCCTGAATGGATGGATTTTATTAAGTGTATATTAACTGTATTGTTCTCTTTGATAATCTTAGGATTCTGCTGGCTTCAGTCTTAACTTTTGCAGCTCTCAGGATGGAGATTGCTGACTCAGCTATGTCTAATGAAAGCATATTTCCCACTTCATTTAGCTCACAAGAGCATAGTAAGCTGTAGGATACTATGCCAACTGGAGGCCTGGTTGAGGTTTTGATTTGATGATAGCTATTTCTGTCATCCCTAAATTTGTCCTGGTAGAGAAGCCTGATGGAAATCCCAGCTGTGCTGAGGATCTCCAAGGGCAGATTTTCAAAGGACAGCCTGGGTTTGCCTTGACACTGATGTAACATCATCACATTACAGAGCTGATCTGGAAGTTGAGGATACTTCATGTGGTCAAGGCTTTGGCATGGAAGGCACAGGGACAAATGTGAACTTAATGGAACGGAGGAAAAGATCTTCCTGTGTCTCCTGCATGGCAAGCACCTTATTCTTCATTCAATTCAGGGCTGCAGCTGCCAATGAGACAGCTCACTCAGGCACCAATTTTCTGTGTAACCACCCTGGACACATCACTCTTTATTCCTCTGTTTTCTTTCTCTAAAACACAGCCCACATCATGTCACCCTTTTTAGTTCTTGTGAGCCTTGACAGCTTGGACTGAGACTGATTCTGCTACTGCCCCACTAGGGCCCACAGGATAGAAAGACTGCTGTGGACAGACAATAAAATGGATCTGCAGCAAACACAGTATAACTGTCACAGAGTCTTTACATCATTACCCAGAGGACAGGGCTTGAAGCAATAAAAGTGAGAAAGAGAGCACTGATGTGTGGAATGCATCGTTTTATGCTCCTCACTATCTTTACGGCTGCACTGTGAATAATTAAACCACCAATGAAAACCAGCAGCGTGCGAGTGAGGTACAATGAGTGACACAGATGATTTGTCTTTGGGAGCTGCCTCTGAATAAAAGTTTACACTCTAATAGAAAACAAATTAACGTCCTTTTACATTTTTATGTGAAATAAAGCCCTTTTTATTCCCCTGGAAAAGGTTTGTGTCTGTAGTGTACACAAGAGGGCACCAGCCCTGAGTGTGCCCAGAGCAACCGGGGCAGACAGATGGGATGGTCCTCACCAGATAAAAAGGGAAATATTTGGACCAGCCTTTGCTCAGATGGGTGGCTGCACTCTTGTACATCTGAGAATTTGCTGAGACCTCCTGTTCAATGCTCAGCCCTGGTCCTGCGTGTCCCTCCTGGCAACCCAGAGGACACCTCTGCAGAAATCTGTAACCTCAATCCCATGGACTCCTCCCATGACCAGCAACACAGGGCTGATGGATTCCTCACTCCCATAAAAAACCAGAGCTGACTGTTAAATACAAACCGCCCGGCACATTATGAATGAGGAAAGTTAATTTTTCAAAGAATATTTGACAGCATCTCCCTGGAGGGCAGCGCATGTTAGTTCCTGAATGAGAAGTGGATGATTTTGGCCTGGTCCTAGTCTAGCTCAGACACCCTGGACGTGCTTCATTCCCAGCTGGGTGTTGCACTCACATCATAACTTAAATCTCCACAACCCTTCTCCCTCCCCAGCCTCCCTATCCTGCAAAAATTACAACAATTTCATTGCAAGCAATCCTACCTTTTCTCCTGCTATTCCAGGCTCCCCCACCGGACCAATGAAACCCATCAGACCCTGAGGAAAGAGAAGAGCACAACTAATTTTCAGTTTTTATTTGCTGAGAAAGTAAACAGTTCCTTTGGTCCACCTTGCTGGTTGCAATAGCACAGCATCCCTCGTATAATGCTCAGTAATTCCTACTGGCTACCAGAGCGGATGGAGTTGCTCCCGGCCATGGGAATGTCTAACTCCACAGCTGGTTCTGCTTTAGGGGCCAGCTGGAACAGCAGCACGAGGATCTGCAAGAACCACAACACACAGCACAGTGGATGAGTGAAGGAAGGAAGGCCGAGTCCATAGTGTGGCTTTGTTCTGTGAGATTTTCCCAAAACAGCTTCCCCAGGAGCTCCTGGGTTGCAGAGACAGAGACTTACCATCATTTTAGCAGCTGGACTGGGTGGACTTCTTCTGGGTTAATCCAAGCTGCCTCAGCCCTTTGTGCAGACTAATTTTGCCCTGGATAGTGTCGTGCTGGTTGGATGCCAGTAGGAAATAAAGGTTCCTGCAGCCAGAGAGGCCAGCAGGGCAGCGGATCTCGCACACCACTCAGAAACCATCTTGGAACAAACCTCCAGTCTAAGCTCAGGGTTTAACAATGTTCAGGATAACGAAGAGGCAAACAGAACTGCTTTTAATTAGGAAGATGGAAACAGATGCAATCTCAAGCAAAGATTCCTGAGAATTAAGATAAAGCAACCTCCCTACCAGCTCCAGTGGTTTCTGGCTCTGGAGATGCAAGGGACTGTCCCCTGTGCCACTGCAGGCACTCGTCTCCTCTGTGCCATGGCGGAAACACCAATTAGCCATGGGATGACAGCTACAAACAGAAAAGCTCCACTGTCCTGTAGGGGTGTCACCAGCCTTTCTGAAGTGGTCTTTGCTTTGAAATGGCCTTTGTGTCAGAAGATGAGACAGTCCTGGAGCACAAGACTGTCATCCTGGCCAGGCTGCATGAACCAGACACTCGTGGGAAGCAGAGCTGGACTCAGCACAGATTGCTCAGTGCAGGAATCAGCTGGAGAGCAGAAAACTCTGCAACATCTGCCTATGCAAGGTTGCCACTGGGTGGCATTGCTGAAGGCTGCTGGATCAATTGTCCTTTCAATAAGACACAAGTGCAGGTACACAACTGCATCCAGTTTCTGAATTTTTCCAGTAGCCCAAGGCTATGAAGAAAGCAAATGTTATGGCAGAGAATGGCAAAGCAATGAGATGCAACAGGGAAATGCATTGCTAGGCGAAAATAGACAATAAAGGAAGAGAGAATACATCTCTTGTTCATTTCCAGTTTCTTGGAGAGCCACAGAACTCTTTCTCTCTCTCCTGGGAATATGCTCTTTAAGAAATTTCTGATTCCTTAGGGCAGTCCCTGCAGAAAAGGGATCCTTGCCCTGTCCAAGCTCAGGCCTGAAGGCCAATCTTCAGACCCACTGTCCATGGCAGCATCCACCCGAAAAAGCCTCTCTGGGTCCTGAAGCCAGGTGCACTGGTGATGCTTCTCAGGCTGGCCTGCTGGTGCTTTGCAGAGGGGTTTGCAGGGATCTGAGCACACCAAGAGCCCCCAACACCCTCCTGAAACCCTCCTTGCGGTCACAGATGTGCTGCTTGTTATGGCAGCTTGTGCAGAAGCCTGCTGGCATGGCCAACACTGGCCCTGCTGCACAGATGGGATGGAAGGGGAGCACAGCCAACATTTCAGCCCAAACCCAGGGAAAATTCTGCCTGTGCTGGTGCACTGTGGTACTGCACAGGGGAAGATGTCACTGCTCCTCACGTGAGAGGAGCATCCCACGGTGTGAACGTGATATGCAGAGCAGGGACCTTGTAGCTTCCAGCACAGTAGCTCTGCAGTGTTTGCAGCCAGCACTGTCTGCTCTGGGCTAAATTAACCAACATTGCTGTGTCTGCAAGCAGACACAAATCGAGATAGATATGTCTACGCCAAATAAATCTCAGTAATTTATCAGGAGTATAAGAAAAAACAGAGGAAGATTGGGTAATGATGTTCTTCACTGGCCAAAATGGGATAGACACTAAAGGCAAGGAGATTTACGTTTTAAGACAGAAAGATTTAGGTTTTAAGAACCAGAAGAACTGCCAATGGCAAATATTTAATCAAAGCAGACACGAATTGTGGTCATTACACTAAAATGGCTGTGGCACAGCATATTTTTCTCAGGTTCCCAGGGTTGAAAAGAGGGCCTGCATCAAACAGGGCTCTGGGCAGTGTGTGTGATGATGCACGTGAAGTCCCAGCAGCAGTGGCTGCCCGGATAAAGGCCCACACTATGCAGGAAAGAATGTAAAACATTTATATTAGACAGGAGAGTTCAGCATGTCGCTCATGATTCAGTCTGCTGTATTCCCCAGCCAAGGGCACGGCGGAAAAGGGATGGAGATTGTTAAAAAGTTGCTGGGGGCTTGTGGAGGGGGCAAGGAAAGGAGGGGGCACTGGTGGGTTGTAATTCCTAACTCCTGTCTCGCTTTCCCCATTTATTGTCCAGCCCTGTCATAATTAAGCCCCCCCTCTTGGCTCCATCAACAGAGAGCAAGTCAGCAATGAAGGCTTGCATAAATCAGAGCCCATTTGGGAGGAAGAAGGGGCCGGCGAGCCCAGCGTGAGCAGGGTCTCCCAGGGACGGGCCCGCTGGTCGCTCCCAGCGGGAACCGATCGCGGCCTTTCTGTGTTACTGCTTCGCTAGAACTCAAAACAAAACACACCAGGGACAAAGGGCGGGAGGGAGTAAATGTACAATCCTCCCATTCAGATGAAAGAAAGGGAAAGTAAAACAGTAAATATCGCAGTTTAAAGGAGGACGCTCTGACCCGCAAAGAACAGCCATGTGGTTTAACCCTCTGTGCACCGGGCACAGCCCTGCCCTGGTGCCCGTGGGCTTCCACCATCCTGGGGAGTGAGGGAAGGGAAGGTGGAGATGTGCTGTCGAAACACCGTGTCACACCAAAGAGGCTGTCAACACCACAGTGCCTGAAAATCCCTGACTGAGGTGTCTGGAGGTCAGAGATGCCCTGGAGGAGAAGGTGAATGGTTGGAAAGGAGCAGTGCTAACATGTGGGAAGCACCAGTGCAGTTCACTGCTCCGTTCCTGGTGACCCTCTTGACCTTGGCCAAGACAATCAGGACGTCCCCACCTGCAAACCTGACATTACAGCCCCTCCCCTTTGGAAGGGGAAAAGCATGAACGAGACGGTGCTGGTGTCCTTTGACAAATTATCTTAGAATACTGATATTGAGACAAAATACTTTGCCCTTAAAGGACAAGAGCAGGCCCTTGCTGCCCTTCCCAGCACAGAGCAATGGGAACGTGGCTGACCCTGACACAGCCCCGGGAGTGAGCAGGGCTGTCACTTCTTGTGCAGGGGAAGGGACTCAAACAGCTGCTCCTGCTATGACAGGACCTCCCAATCCCATTAAGGTCATAAGGCAACTGAAGCCTCTTTCAGCTGGCACAACTCTTCACTGCTATTTTCTAGTGCCAAGCAGGAGCTTTCCTGAGATGGCAGCACCTTCCTGCCTGCTGCAGGCTGCTGCTTCTCCCACAGGGCTCTCTGACCTTCAGCGTGGACATTTTGGTGACATTCTCCTGCTGTGCATTCCCCAGCTCAGGGACAGGCAGGCTGGTGGCTTCCCTGGCCAGAGGCCTCGTATTCCTCTTCATATCTCTCTCACTCATCTACAGGCAAGGAAGGGTTAACCCACACATTTCCAGGGTACTGGGGCGCCTGGCAGCTGGAATCCTTCCAGCACATGGAGACAACAAGCATCTCATGAATGATCTTCCCGAGTCTGTGTCCTTGCAATGGAAAAACAACGCATCAGGGACTGCCCTGTGGCTTAAAAACTCATTTTTCAACGAGAGCTCAAGTATCACCGGAAACCTCACAGAAACTCCCGTGTTTTCCTAAACAGATGTCCCTAAGAAAGGGAAGAAATCTCCAATGAGATGGATGGCTGATCTCTTCTCATGCTGTTATGCTGAGATTTTCTACTCTGAGAGAACCCATTTGTCAGGCAGAGCAGCAGGATAGAGAAGTGTGACCACCCTTACTGTGGAACAGAAAACATCAGGGTCTCCACAAGAGAAAACAGGGTGAGGTGATGGTGTCTTCAGTGCCAAAGGCCTGGGTTCATCCTCTCAGGGCTCTGCAAAAAACCAACCCAGCCCCAACAACAACTGCTGACGTTTAAGTGGAGGGAGGAAGGAAAGCCCAACACTCCAGCATCGCTCAGTGGAGATGTGAGGGGAGAGGAGGTTATTTCTCATTACTCTGGTGAGACATTTTTGTTCTAATTACTTGACTGGTTCAGAAATGGAAATTTTCTGGGTGATATTTCTAGACAGAGACTAATTGACTAAGAATAACACAGGCAGCTTTCCTACCACTGTGCTGGTTTCAGTGTCAGCAGAGGCCAGCTGTGTTTTCTTTTCGATGAACAGTGCCTACAGTTCTCATCCAAGGTCAGTCCTGAGGGAAGTTAAAGAATAATAATCCTAATGATGCGTTGCCCTTCAAGGACAATGTCTGGTTAAGGATCTCAAAGCACTTCTAAATATTCATTTTAACAGTGTCCACAGGTGCCACTTCAGAACAGGAGGCACTGAGCTTATCCCTCTGCTCAGGACTGTCTCCTTCCACAGAAGGGGAAACTGAGGCACAAGCACTGGAAAGTGCTGCCTGAGATCGTGCAGAATCTGATAAAGCTGCAAGTAGAACTCAGATCTGGGGAACGACTTTGCTCCTTCAGTAGTTGCTCTTCAAGGAGCAAATTAACAACCATAACACAGAAATGGCTCTAATTTCCAAAGAGAAGTAACCACCTTTGATATATACCGAGGCTGGTGTCAGACTGCTGGTACTGAAAAGGATCCACCTTGCCTTTTGTAGACTTGCTTGGTCAGAAACCCTTGGAAGAAGTGACCCAAAGAAGAGCCAGAGAGGCTGACAAGCTAAACCAAAGCAAACCAAGCGTGCTGACCATCCAGCAGGGAAAGTGTTGGGAAGGACAGCAGTGGTGAGGAGCAACACCCGCAGTGCCAGGGCCAGCTGCCACAGCCAGCTTGGTGTGGTCATGTAGGAACACACAGAATTTGTTGGAGGCTCTGTGGCTTCACTTTCAGGGTTGTTGGTGGACAAGTTTGTTGGTTTCAATCACAGAGATGTGGGAAAAATTGTTGCTTTTTCCTTGATGCCTGTGGTTCCCCCAAAGCCTACAGGGGTAAAGCATGTCCTGGGTTATGCCAGCAGAATGTTCTCTATGGAATTACAACAAAATGCAGCTCAGTGTCCCTCCTCCCCAGGGTCTGGTTTCTTCAGCTGCTAACTCCTCTACTCCCCAGAAAATGTAGGGGAATTGAAAGCAATATAGCACCCAAAGCAGAGAATCCTGTCCTTAAAATCTACATTGGCAAAGCCTGGAACCTGGAGCACCAGGGCTGGGGGCAGCTTTGAGGTGGCCAGAAGTCCCTGGCCACTGCCCTCTGCCTGCACTCCGGGCAGCCAGGACAAGTTGTACAGAGGAGATCATCAAGGAGGCAAGGAAAATAAGGAATTTACCTGCTCACCAACTTTCCCTGGTCGGCCACGGTTTCCTGGCTCGCCCTGCAGGACAAGGAGACAAGGGCACACGGGTTACTGCTGCCAGCCAGACCCTGGCCACAACATGGCTCTTTGTACACCCATTATTTGGGCAGCAAAGTGTGAATCGGGGAAAATCTGTGAGAAACAACATCCTACAAAACCCACTGTGACTTGGAGGAAGAAAGAACTTTCTTACTTATCCAAAGTAAGAAACACTACTGACACAAACATGGAGTAAACATTTGCTGTTCTGGAGTGAAGTGCCCCAAAAGCTGGTCCTGCTGTAGTAAAATAACCTTCAGAGAACCACACTGAAACATAAGATATCCACTGCCCTGTGGCGTAGGCCCAGCTACTTTATCCCAAAGCTTTACAAAAGCTTTACAAAGCAAAAGAAGAGAAGACAACCCAAATATTCCCAGGCAATGCTGCACCCTGATTCTGTTGTTGTAAAACCTCAGACAGGCACACGTTACTGTCACATGGAGCATCCACAGGAAAACCACAGCAAGAACCTATGTGAGATAAATCCCAGTGCAGGAAGAAGGAGTTCAGAGCATGAAAATGATGAGGGGTGGAGGAGAAAGCAGAAGGAGAAGGACTGCACACCCACCAGGGATCAGGCAGCTGTGGCAGCACGTGGGGGCAGTCAGAGCGCCCTGCATGGGCCATCCAGAGGCCAGGCTCACCAGTAACCAGCAGTGTCTCCAGGACAGCAGCTGCATTTTCTCAGTAGGCAGATACTCCAGATGTGCTGCCAGACCACATTTTTGGTATTTACTGTTTGAAGAGGTTGTTTTTGTTGGGTTTTCTCTTTCCTTTCGAGTGTGGGTTTGTGGAGTGCATTGCCCTGGGATGGCTCCTGCTGATAATTAGGCAGCAAAGATAGGAATGATGTGCATTGTTTTAGAACAAAACCATGGAGAAGCAATGGAAAATGAAGTGATGATGGAGGAAGAAGTTGGTTAATATGAAAAGAGGGACACATTTGTTTATAATAGCTTAAAAAATGCACCATCATTCTTTTTGAAGAAAGAAGCAGAAGATGAGACCCCAAAATTCTGAGAAAAAGAGTTCTCTTGTTCTCTCTGGAATGAATACTTGGGGGAGTGGTAAAGGTGAGAAAAGACATTTCTCTCTTTCTTTCCTCCCTTCTACCCACTGCTTTCCTGATCAGGAACAAACTTTTCTTACCTTTGGACCGTTGGGACCAGGTGTTCCTGGAAATCCCTTCCGACCAGATCGACCCTGAAATACATGGAAAAACCATAAACATCAAATGCTTGCAGCTGCTTTGGTCACAGGTGCTGCTTACATGCTTGTAAAATAAAAGATAAAGATAAAACATTCATTTTCTGATCCACCTATTACCAATTTTTGGGATATTTTACTGTCCTAAGGTGACAATTACGTACAGACCCATTACAAAATCCTGAGTTGGCAAGCTCACACATATGATAATATTCTTTTTGCTTCTTTTAACTGTGTTTCTGTGAAACATCACAGAGGTCAAAAGGACTCTCTCTGACTGTCCAGTTTTTTTGGGTTTTTTTTTCTTTTTCCTCTACTCATTGAAAAATACTATAAATCAAGGAAGAAACACAAGGGCTGGTTATGGAGATGGTTTCCAATCAATGCCATTCATCTTGAGGATGAACTGTTTAAACATTAGAGGGTTTTTCAAGGTTTGAGACTTCAGGAAAGTCATAAACTCAACACCCTATGCAAGACACTTCCTGGACTTTCAGCCATCCTGGATCAAGCAATCAATCAAGCCCTGGACAAGACAATAATTCATAGCAGGGCAGATTAACTTCCCAAACCAGGAGGGTGGAAGCTTTATGAGAATTTAACTACAATTCCATTGCAAGGTCAGCAGAACTGGTAATAGCTGAGTGAATAAATGAATGAAACCTACCTCTGGACCAGGGACTCCTGGTGGTCCTAAGGGTCCTTCATCTCCCTGAGATGAAAAGAAATTAAAATAAAAGGCAAAGTAGTGACAAAATTTGGACTCACCATGCAGCAAGAATGAAATGCCTGCAGTATGAGCAGTAGTTAAACACAGGCTGTATGTTCAGCTGTCACATTTTAAAAGCTGAGCCCTTCTCTATCTTAGAGCTGCTTCTGAGGTTTCTCAGGAAAAAAAGATCTCAAGTCAAGTCCTGCCAGTAAAAGCCATCCAAAATTTGACCAAGGGAACACCAGTTGATTTGGTCTATGATGAGCTGGATTTGGCCACTAGGGTACCCTGGACACGCTGCCATGACTCTGCTTCATTCGATTTGGCAGGGATGTGAATGCTATAGAGTTCCCTTTTTCTCTCCTCCCCCCTTTTCTCTCCCTTCCCCCCAAAAAGCATGTTCCAAAATTTCCCACAGAACCACTTGGCAACGGTATGAACGTTTCCCTTTTGCTTTCAGCTGGGACTACACATGCTGCAGAATGGAGCTATCACAAAATCTCACACAGCAATTGGACTCGGTCCTCTCCCTTGGCTCCACACCAATTTCTAATGTGATAGGATCAGATCTACAGTTTCTAAGAGACCTTCAATTAAGCTTCACAAAAATTATCTCAAGTGTCTAAAACCAACTGCCAAGAGAGAAATTAAAAGCGCCCTTGGCAGCCCCAGCCTGGCTGCTCTCGTTTCGGTGGTCAGCCGTGGTAATGAAGGGGCACTGGCAGGCTGGGGTGGGACTGGGGGTCAGGAACCCAGCTCCAAGGGCTCACACAAGCCACCCACAATATGCCACATTTCCTGAGGGATGCAATTCAGAGCCCTGACCCAGTGCCCTGGGTGACCACAGTGGTAAGAGCACAGTGCTGTGCTCTGCTGCACACTCTAAGTCGTGGAGCACAGCTCACACCAAACTCCATGTCCATGTCTTTGGGATTACTTTTACACTCACTAACTAGAGTAAATTGAAGGCAGCTTGGTCACGCCTGCCTGAACCTGGAATGCAGGGCTTCGATTCCCTTTGTATTTTGGCTGGAATATTTTTTTCCCCCCCCTATTTCACTGCAAATAAATGAGCTAATTTGCATTAATCCCATTTAGAGAACAAGCAGAAGAGTTCCCAGAAAAAGTTAAGAATTATTAGTGCTATTAAAACGAGCTCCTGCCCATGCATGTGCTCAGTATTATTTACACAACGTCTCGTGACTCTGGACAAACAGCTTACACTGGCCTGAGTGAGAGGAAATTACACCAATGTCACTGGAGTTACAACAGGATAAACAGGGAACCCAGACATTCTCTGCTGCTCCCATAGTTCAATTAAATCAATGACAATTGTTCCCTTCCTTATGACTGCAAGTGGAGTGATGCTTCAGGTTCTGAGGTGAAGTGGAGAGTGAAAGCTCTCAGGTGCTGGGCAAAGGAATTTCTGCAGAGCAGCAATTCCCATTTCCTTCTCTTTTTACAGAGGGATGTTTCTCCGTGTGAGAGAGCAGAGTCTGCAGGTCTCATGGTTGAAAGGGAACACACTTAAAAGGAGCGGAAAGCAGATGCCAGGCCAGGGCATGTCTGTGCAAGGGGATGTGCAGGGAAAAGGGCTCTAACACCCATCTGGGGGTGGGGGAACAGGCTTTAAAAGCAAAGCCAAGGCAGAGTTTAGGGTCAGCAGATGCCAGCAGTGACTGGAAGCAGAGATCACAAGCCTTGGAGATCACACAGCTCAGAGGAAGCTCCTCTTCTTCAGGTCTCTGATCACTCAGTATAAGCATCTGCTTCCAAATTCAGAGGGACCAGAGCATTTTAAACCACAGACACCATTTCACCATTCATTAATTTAGAAAATTCAGCATTGTTCTTTAAATCAAACCTCTTTTGAGCTGAGGACACTCACCTCTTGTCCAGGCAGTCCTCTTGGCCCAGGTAAACCTCGTGCTCCTGGCTTTCCCTGAGAAAGAGCCAAAGGAAAAGATACTCAGAAAATAGAAACATAAGCTCAGAAGGGCAATTAAAATGAGAAAGTCTCTTTCACAGCCATGGGACATTGTCCAATGTCAATTTTGTTACAGAAAAAAAATCTGAAGAAAAGAAAACGCTGCACTTGGAGGCACCTCAAGCCAAACAGACCAAGCTGAGATGCTGGCCAGGACAATCTTTAGGAATCTCCTGGGCTTTCTCTCTTCCCCCCTTCCCACTACTTTGTTTTCCCTGGCTGCTTCCAACCCCACACAGAGCTGCAGTCTCTGCTCTACTCACCTTCAGACCTTCAGGACCGTTTTCTCCTGGTGGGCCAATGTCACCTGGGAAGCCCTGGAGAAAATGAGGAACAGTCAGGGTGCAAAGGTGGAATTCTGCAGGCAGTGTCAGCCTCTGTGAGAGGTTTAGCTAAAGGCTAAGGGACAAGGTGTGTCACATGCTGGCAGTGTCCATGTGGGGGCCACCACGGCTTCTGGAGGGAATGGGACACAAAGGAGCAGCACCATCAGTTTGATGGAAGAGCAGCCTTTCCCAGCAACTCCCTTTAGGTCCATCTTCCTACAAGATTTATTGCAGCGAGGGCCTCCCTGTCATCACACAGCTAAAGGCAGTGATTTGGGTTTTAATTAATCTTTCTGAGCCAGCTCATAACCTCTGTGCTCCCAGAAAGGAGCTGCAGCCTCGGCTACAAAAGGAAGCAGGCGAGGAATTAGGAAAGGTGCTGACACCCTCATTAGCTGCTGTCAGCCTGGCAGGGCTCCTTCCCACCCAGCCACCCACCCTCGAGGAGGAAACAAAGGAATCCCTGCTTATTTCCAATAGCAACAAAGAGGAACGATTGCTAAGTGGCAGCACTCAGCTGAGAGCCCTTCCAGACCTGTGAAATACCAGAACGCTGATGAGGGGAAAACAGACATCAGTTGTGCTGGAAGTGGCTCTCCAGCATCTTACAGACCTTGCCTGGTCACTTAGGAAGGAGAAAAATGATGGTGTGCTGGGGGAAGGTCATCCTGCATCTCAGGTATCACACAGACTTTTTTTGGTAAGGGAAATAAGAGGATTTTCTACTTTAAGTGGTATTTTGAGGGGGGAAAACTGAAAAAAACTCCTTCATTTTATCTATGACAAAAAATGGGAAGGAAAAACAGGATCTCATCTACATGAGATGTAGAATGGGTCATGAACCCATCTTGATTCTTCCTACCCCATCTCCACTCATTGCCATCATATCCCAGCAAAGAAGGGAAGCCTGAGGCTGGGAGGATGTGAGAAGGACCTGGTGGGACATACCTCAGGGCCAGGTGGTCCTGGAAACCCGACTGGTCCTTTGTCACCAACTTTTCCCTGCAGAAATTGGAAAAACATGGGGAAAAGTGAGCTGGCTCCTGGCTGTCAGGTTTCCTGTTTGGAACAGCACATCCCTGCCAAGCTGTCTTTCCAGCTGGGCACAGGACCTTAGAAAGGGAGATGAGGAAGCAGAGGGTGCTTGGTTACTTACCAGGGGGCCTGCCTTCCCTCGTGCCCCAGGGACCCCAGGCAAACCCTGGCTGCCCTGAGAGAGACACATTATTTCAGAACACAATGAGGCATCAAAAAAACTCCAATTCCCCAGGCTCCAGCTTTGCTGCAGAATGAGGAGCATCTCCTGAAGGCTGAGCTCAGCCCTGCGTGGAGCTGGGACAGCTGCACTAATGTCAGTGAGATGTTTCTGAAGACAGCCCCGGATTTAGCCCCAGAGAACACGAGCTGCTGCAGTTGGCTGTGGCTCAGAGCCACGCGGGCTGCAGCACAGGGCTATGTGCAACATTTGTCAGCCACAGCCAGTATCACATTAAATCACAGGGGAGAAGTCATTTGATCAGAAGTTATACAGAGCATTAAGTGGTTCCCTGGGTCAGGGTTTAAGTTGCTGCACTGAGCAGACAAAATCTCCTGAGTCTGCAGCCGCTGGACCACACACATTCACACACATCCCCATGGATCCCATCCCTTCCAGCCACTGCTAGGAGACACAGCCCCTACAAAAAATCCTGCAGAACTGCTTTACTATGAGTAACTATAAAATCCATATTCTGATGTGGATTTTAGAAAGGCACAAATGGGAACTATCCAAGCAGGGGAACCTGACAGCAGGATGCAGCTAATTCCAGCTCCTAGTGGGTGAGCTGAGATAACTGGTGGCCACTGCTATGTGAGGGGAAAAGAACAAAGGAGAAAAGAAAAACATTTAAAAAACATTTACCTTGTCTCCTTGGAAGCCGATATCTCCTGGAACACCTGCTCTTCCCTGATCACCCTGGGTACACATCACCAGAGAGTTAAAACAGGCAACAGCAACAGCCAAAATGCCCAGGTTGATGCTCAGAAGGTGCTTTATGCAGCAAAAGTCTCAACAGCAGCTCCACTCAGAACTGAACTACTGCCAAGCTGCAGATCACACTGAACGTAGCAACCACCCTGAACAAAGTGTGTATTTCCCAACTTGATTCTAAGGTGAGGAAGGAAACTGCAGGAGAGCAAAAATCAGGAATTCCCCAGCATTGTGTGTCTATAGGAGCTGCAAGAAGAGAGAGCACATTCCTCTGGCTAACAGCAGCCATGACGGTGGTGAAGTGTTAAATTCAGCTGAACAGAAGAGTTCAGTTTTCAATGAATGAACCTTTTCTCTCACAAGGCTCTATAGAAAAGAAAACAATCCTCAGGGTTTCTGTGAGCATATCCTAGTCCTGACATCAAACATCAATCCTCTTTCATAAGAAAACAAGAGCAACTTCTGGTAATGCTTTAGTACTACCTCACTGCCAATCTCTGAGCTGAGATTCCCTGGGAGGGGTTGGCTGGTGTTCACTGGGATGGGGAGCCCATCACTGACAGTATTCCCTCACCAAGCTGTCTGTCTGTCCCCTAGTTGGACCAACATAACAGATTCTGACTCCCTGGGTGGAAGCCAAATATCTCTGAAGGTTTTCCAAGGAGCAGTGGGCTACCTTGCATTGGCTCTTGGCCCTGCTGTGAGCAGCTCTGGACCAAATCACCTCCTGATGCCCCTTCCAACTTCATGTATTTAGTGATTTACTTAAACAAAGGATGAGTCAATGATGGGGAAGAGAAAGGAAAATTCTACTTGGGAAATCAAGGGAGGAATGACTACAATAACTTGGTACAATGACAAGACCCAACAAAAATAACTGCTGGAGCAACTCTGTCCCATGAACTTGGCTTCCCAGCAAGGGAATGAGCCACTCCAGGGCTATATGTTTAAACATAGCCCACATGGAAGACATATGGAGTCCTGCAACAGAGCCAAAGTCCACAGAGAGATGTCAGAGAAAGTCCACTTCACTCCAGAAAAACCACCCACTCTCACCCATCAGAGAGCTGAAATAATTGTAACTACTTCAGTAACATGCAGGGGATAATCAAATTGTGGACAGTTCAGGTCTGAGTTGGTAGAAACTTTTCAAAGACAATTTTTCATAAGAAAAAAATTAAGAACTATGCAGATTCAATGATGGAAACATTTCATGGATTCATGCTAAATTTGCTTAAATGTTTTGGTAAATGTTCCCGGAACATTTCACTGAACCATCTTAAAAACATTTTTACATAGCAAAATTAAAATGTTGCTCTTAAAAATGTTAAATTGATTTTACTCATTTGGTTTTCAACCTAAAATATTTTAATTTGAGTCAAATAACCAACATTTTGTTTAATCTGAACTATTTTCCATATTTTTTTTTGGCAATGCAAAATGGAAACAATCAGCTCTTTACACAGCTTCAGTTCGGAAGAAACCCAAGTATTAGATACAAGAGAAATGGCAAAAAATCTACTGTGTGACCCATCTCCTTCACAGATTTCTCTCATCTTCTCTGAATTTTCTACTTATTTTATGTAGTTCAAGGCTTAAAACACGGAAATCTACTTAATTCTGGCTCCCAACTGAAGGCAGCATGAAAACAGCTTTTCTGGAAGTGACAGGTTGGCTCTGAGGTTTGGCTTTATCATCAATTCTGAGGGTCAAAGAAGAAAGATTCTATTTTTTATTAAGCAGTTTTCTACCCAGAGAGTACAAGTGGCCATTGAAATGCTGTTTCAGAAGAAATACTCGGACACTAAGGAATAGCTACTAAAATAAAAGAGTTTCCTGAGCACAGCGAAACGCAGGAACAAACCTTTGTTTCCAACCTTTAGGAAAAGTGGGGCATGACAGTGAAACCAGTTTTCAAACAACTCTGAGAAATGGGCATTAGAGAGGGTAAGAAGTAAGCAGGGAAACAAAACTCATCACTTAACCTGAGCTGGAGATGTTCACATGTTATTGTGATAGCACAGCAAAATGAGCATGAGCAGTCCATCCATGGCTGTCAAGATCTTAAACCAGAACTGAGCACTGGGGCATCACCTTTTACCTGCCCTGCAACTGGGACTTGGGATCTGTGTCCTTAATATGAGGGAAAAAATACAGAGGAAAGAGGTCAGGCATGTTTGTTATTAAAAACTGAGATGCTGAGATGATGAAATGGGCCTGCAAGGGCTTGGTTCACAGGGCAGGAAAAGGAATGCAGGATCTGAAATTACAAACAGCCTCTGCCCATGGGATGTTGCCTGTGCTTCATGTTTCACCTATAAAAAGAAATTCAGCTTCAGACACCCTGAGGCCCTGTGTAACCCAACAGAAACAGAGAGGGGCTACAAGAGAAGGGACCAAGTGCACAGCTGTGGGATGTGTTTGCTGTCTGTGGGATGCAGAGGAGGTTGTTTTGCAAAATCCCCTCAATTTTCCTCAACTGGAAGTCTCTGTTCCCAAGACTTCCTGCTTAGCAATGCAAAGGGAGCTAATGCCACACAACTCCAGAGGTATTTGCCTGAGCCATGTCCTCCACAAGTTACAGATGTCCTGATTCATAAAACTCCTTTGTGAGAACAAGTAGCTGGGATTTCCTCTGCTTCCTCCACCTTTCCCCTGCACTCATCACCCCACGTGGTCTTCTCAAGGCCACTCTTTATTTCAGTTACACAGTAATTCCACTTGTCCCTGTAAGAGCAGATACAACCCTCTCTTCCCCTCTCCTTGCCTCTGTGAAAACACAGGAATGGAAACAGAAGGATGACCTGGATCTGCCTGTCTAGCTTCTAGATAAAAAGATGTGATTTTTGCTGGAGGAATGAGATGCTGTCCCTTATTCTGGTTCACACCTGGCCACGTGATGTGAGGATGTTCTCCCAGGTGGATTGAGGTGGCAGATCCAGTGACATTCCTGCTGCCTACACAAACATCCAGCCACCCTGTCATTGTTCTCAGGTTTGCCAGCATCCATCTGACTGCTGCTGACTGAAGGGAGTTTTCCTCAGCTACAGGACAAAGCTGTACAAGGCCACGTGTTTTGGATGTGACCAGGACAGATGGGATTAATAGGAGCTTGCAGACACCCAATTAAATCTTCATCAACCCAGGAAGGCAGGATGACCTGCAGCCTGGAGCTTGCAGGGAAAGGCAGCTGGGGGGGAGGAAAAGGTTTCCTGTACCTCAGGAGTTTGGGATTGTTGGGAGGATGGATAATTCTGCACTTGGGAGTATTGTAAGGATAACTCCAGAGACAGCCACAAACCATTTGGTTACTGTGACAGCAGTCTGGGCATAAGCAGAGCAGTGTCTGGAAAGTGATGGAGACTGAACTGTCAAAAAGGTTAATTTCACTAAACAATGATTTAGATCGTGATGGTTCTTAAGATACTTAACCATTTCTCCCAAGGAGTGGATGGAGGAGTCTGTGGACTGCAGGATCTGGGGTTTAGTCCAGAAACCAGCTACAATGTCTTAAGCTTGTCCTAAAGTAAAAGCCCTTCTCTTGCCTTGTCATTGCTCTCAACAGAAGTGGGAAAGCAGCACAAGGGAAAAATGGAAATTGCAGACACAGGAGTCCTGGCAAAGAGCCGCTATAGTATAAGAAGACTTGAATCACTGGTTTGACACTACTTCCCCCCTGTGCAGTTTTGGGCTGCTAAATCATTCTCTAAAAGCAAACATCTAAGAAGAGAATAAAACATCTGACAGGAGGAGGAGAATACACTTAATGGTCATTTTCCACTGCCCTCCTGAGCAATCAGAGCCAGCAATAAATAACTGCACCTCCCACTCCTTCAGACTAAATAAATCCTACAGCTGAATATCTGTAGGAGGAGGGTTCTCGTGACAGTGAGACATTTACACACACAGCTTCATGCTGATTTAGCTGAAGCTGTGTGGTTTTGTGCCAGCACCACTAAATCACTGCAATCAAGGCCCCTCTCCATTTTGCTTTATCTAAAGTGATTTTTGTCAGTTTAGGACAAGGCAATTTCCTCCCAGTAGGAAGCTGAACTGAGGTGAGGCTCCTTGAACAGGAGCAGAGGTATCCAACACAACAGTTTTTCCAGGGATCCACCTGGTTTGGGTTGCTTTTTCACACTTCATCTTCCCCCCAGATGCATTAATGCAAACTCACTGTCAGTGTTGGATCATCTCCTCCCCACCCCCATCACGTAAACAACATAAAAACAGTGGAACACCAGGTAATTGTATAGTTACTGTCATCATCAGTGGGAGACAGGAGCTCCAAAGAGGATCTGAGCATAATTTATCTGTACTCCACGGAAAAGGGGAGGGGCAGATATCAAAGAAAGAAAAATCAAAACTAGAGTGTCATGAATGGAGGGAGAGTGAGAGGATGGGGTATAGATGGCCAGGGTGGAACCAGCACAACGATGCTGAATAGGAAACTAGAGAGGGGGTTTCACATGCAAATTAAAACACAGTGCAATAAGGGAGTATTCAGATCACCTTATCACCTTTCAGTCCATGTTCTCCAGGGTTTCCCATCAGCCCCTGAAACAAAAGAAAGTTCAGAGTGAGGTTGAGCCATGGTGGAGACTTGCTCAGGTCTGTGACATTGCTGTTTGCTGATGGGGCTGGTGGCTCAGACCCACAGCACTGGCCTGGAACAGTCTCAAGGTCCAATGCCAGACTGCTCCCAAAGTGTGCTCCATCACACATTCTTCATGTGGGAAAATGCTTCTGGAATTCTCCATTGACTTACACCCTCTGCAGAGCACCAGTGGGATGTTGTGTCTAACATCACTGCTGCCCATCCCTTCTCTCAGGACAGTCACCACTGCCCCAAGGAGGAAAAGAACAACCTTCAGCCCTGCTATGGAGGGATGAGAGCTCAGAGAGCTCAGAGATTCCCTCACCTTTAATCCTTTTGGTCCTGGATAGCCGATTGGTCCAACAGGGCCCATGTCACCCTAGTGAGAGAAAGAAAATGACCACAGTCATTAGGTGCAAACCCGACAGATCCCTGCACGTGGTGTGAAATCCCTCTGATATCCAGTCTCAGTATCCCTGAAGAAATGCACTACTGATATCAACAGAAGCAGCATCCTGGCATGAGTCAAGCTCTTTGAATGTGCAGACAGCCCCTAAATAAATGTAGCACTCAGAGAAAAGAGAGGAGAAGCAGGAGGTGGGGACAGAGGGGTCTCATCCTGCTGCAGTGAGAAGTCAGCGTGGCATTGTGTGCTGGGACTCCGTCTAACGCAGGAGGACAGCAGAGCTCTGGCTGCTCTGGGCACCCATGTGTGATGTACAACAGAAACCGTTCAGTGCTGGTGTTGAAATGGGCTCTGGCTGCTCCCTGCCATGAAGAGAGGCAGTGACAGGGTGCACCAGCCTGGCCTCAGTGTGTAAATAAACAGGGCAGGCTCCCTGAAGGAGCGATTCTCCAGCCGCAGCCCCGGGCCCGCGGTCACGCAGAGAGAGCTGGGCTGCAGCCACCCCAACAGAGCCCTTTTCATACCTCCTAGCATAAAGGCTGCTTGTAGAAATGCATTTACTTAGAGCTCTGCCCACATGGTTAATTAGGAGAGCAAGAGGCTTTAGTTACTCCTAATTCTGCTCTTCAGCCTCTCTTACACTGTGAAAAAACTCTGCAGGGTGCGTGAGGCAGCCAGAGCCTGGCTGGTCCCTGGGGTGGCTGCAGGTGACAAGGAAGGGACTGAAAGGGGGCCATGTGTCACCTTCTCCATGCCCTGCAGTGTGCACACCCTGGGGAAGGAGCTGGAGCTGTCCTCCACAGGGAGGACAAGGCAGGATGGATGTGCTCCCTTCTCCCCAGGAGGGTGGAATGGGTCACTCTTGCTCTATCCCATGAGAGATGCTTCAGCAGCCTGAATTCAGGAGATGCATGTTACCTTGGGACACAAGATCTGACTCAGCTTGACCTGAATCTCAGTTTGAAGTTTGGCTAGGCCAGTGTGGAGGGGAGGACAGGCAGCTACTGACTCCATCATCTCTAGAAGGACCATGATCACATTTGCCATCTCTGACCTTACACTTTCTAACAAACACAATGTCTATTGAGATAATGGCAATAAATCTTGCCAAAAGCAAGGAGGAATAGAATCCAATCTGGACTATGCCTTCAATGGTATTGTTTTAAATAGCAATCTTCATCTTCCAGCTTTTTGACAGGAGCACATCCTTTCTGCTGCTATGGCTAAAGTAGCTACTTTCATCTCCACTAATGAAGGGAAGCAGACCTAATTTGTGGTTCCATGGAAAACCTTCCTGTGAATCCACCTCTGCCATCTCCAAGATGGGTGTTCCACCATATTCCCTGCTGTTCCTTCAAGGAATGCAAGATTTCTGGATTTGTGCACTGCCTAGTGCAATGGAGGCCTCGATCTAAGCTGACACACACTCCTGTAATTTAAGCTACGGGAAGGCAAAAGGGGAAGGTTTTAACCTTTCCTTGCAAGTCAAGTTTCCATGGTTTGTCACAGCTGAGGAGGAATCATTATGAAAGAATGCTGTAATAGTAACAGAGCCTACCAATTTTTGTGTGGGGAAGGGAATAACCTAAAACAAGTGCTGAGACCTAAAAATAAACCATACTATGTTCAGCTGGGCATTCACTAACCCCCAGCATGGCTGCCAGAGGAGGAGCTGCCACCCATCCTTACAGCCATTTATCTCCTGCTGGGGGAAAAGTGTAATGAAGGGTGGAATTTGGCTGAGTAAAATTACCTGGATTAGTGATGGGATAGTGAAAATGCTTTTAAAATTCCTGTCTACCCAGAGGACAGAGTGTTCCTGCCCTCAGACTCTCCAGTGAACAAGAACTGTGTGTCCCTGAGGTCACTGCTTACAGGGACTTGCTTTTTAAGAGATCCTGGTGTGGAAGGAATGTTGCATCTTTGAAGAAATACCCTGGCAAACGTTATCAAAAGGGCAAGTTATCATGAAAAAAAAAAGACACTAACAACAGACTTCTAATCTGTTTCCTTTTGCTTGGAAAGGGTTTGCCCTCCTCCACCTCCCAATCCACCAGGAAACCCCCTCTTTCCCCAGATGTCACACCTCCCCCATGCAAACAGTCATCCTGCTCACAGGAAGAAGAAAATCTGTGTGTAGTTAGGCAGGTTGAAAGGGTTAAAGCCTGACAAGCCAGATCTCCATTTGTTTTTGTACTTACAATGAGTCCAAGGACTCCAGGAGGACCTGGGGCTCCCAATTCTCCCTAAAAGGAAAGACAAACCCACATGGTTACAGAACACTTTATAGACAAGCACAGACTGAAAGGCAGCTCAGTGTTTCAAGGGTTTGAGGGAAGGGAAAAGACTGTCCCTCCCCTTCCATCCCCCCTTCCATCCCCAGCCCCTTTCCCCTCCAAAGCAATCCAGAACTTCCATTTTCAGGAGTGCACTTGTGAGCACATCCTGGGAAGACACAGGCTGTGTTGTTGGGCAGTTATTCCCAGGGCTACCTTCCCTCCCAGGAGCAGGTTGGATGAAAGGAACATTTCACTGTGCAGGGGAGAGGTGGGAGCCTGCCCCTGGTGAGACCCAGCAACTGGCAGGGAGAGGGAGTAGGGAACATGGGGGGAGCAAGGCTAAGGTGGGAAGGAGAGGAAAGCTGCTGCTTTAGCACTGGGAAGGGTGAGTTCTGGGAGTGGTTCTGTAATAATAAAACTCATAGGGAAAGGAAGACCTGCATGAAAGTGAAACTGGGTAGTTTGGGATGAGGGTATGGCAGGTTCTGGTGCTGGAAAATGGCTCCTAGGAGTGTATTTGGCACCTTGGAGTCATCATTCCAAGGGTCAGACTGCTGATGGGGCTTGTGGAGCTGGTTTGGCTTCTCAGCTTCACCACAAGCTTTCTCTGTGTGAGCTCTCCAAAGACATGCAGAAGCACTGGCGGGTGCCTGATGGCATCTCCAAGTGAAGCACAGCAGAGAAGCTCTGCCAGACCCCCACAGCTCACCTACCCAGGTTCCTGAGCAGCTCAGCAACCATGGGGTGCTCAGCCTGTCCCGTGTCCCCCTTGGTGGCCTCCCTGGCCATGCTAACAGTGAGCTGCTTGCCAGGGCAAGGACCTGCTCTTACACACCTCCATCTCCAGCAGGGCCTCTCAAAACAAGTGCATTGGAAATGCTGAACTTCCTGTTAACTCAGACAGTCCTGCCCCTGCTCTGCATCATGCAGGCTACTTCCTCTGACAGCCCTGCTCAGTTTATGGTGCACATCTGGTGGAGCCCCTCCAGTGCAATATAGCTCCCCTTTTATGGAAAGATTTGCCTAGTGGAAGAAGGAGAGAGAAGGGGACGCAACGTGACTGCATGTGCTCAGGGCTCCTTGGGTAAAGGGTTACGTGTGTTTATTTTATGGGAAGTGGAGTAAAGGACTATTGGGCAAGCACACACACAAAAAAGCGTTTCATAATCTCAACCAGCCTAAAATTGCTTTTTTTTTTTTTATGGCCAGTTCCTTTCCTGCATACTTGGGACATCTGTGGAGCAATTGTTCCTCATGGGTGGGATTTCTGTGTCCTCAGAGCTACTGTTATAAGGTCGGCTTCAAGCTTTTAGCCAAGGCCTGGCATTACTGGCCCAGGAAGAAGTGGGAGTATCCCAGGAATGCTGAGCACAGGAGCTGCATGCTGGCCTGGGCTCCCCAGGAAGCTCTGCAGGCTCCCAGGGTGGCTGGGCTGCAGGCTGACTGGATGCTCAGCTCTTGGTCCCACCAGCTCCAAGAGGCATTTCCCAGATTTCTGACTTGTGTCATATTGCTGTTCCCCAGGAGAACGGCTGTATGTGGAAATGCATGACCTCACAGCTAACAGAAGAGGATTTCCTCTTGGAAGAGGAGGGGGTGGACTCCCCTGAGAGATGTGGACAGGACTAGTTGTTAATTTGAGCCATTCCCTGGTCTAGGAAATGGAGGATTTACAAGTGGCCTCTCCTGGCTATCTGTCCCTGACCTGTGAGGGAAATCAGGCTCTATTCTCCTTTTTTCAGCGCGTGGACCGGGCACTGGGACAAGAGAGAAGGAGATTAATCAACAGCCCTTTCCCACGTCTAATTCCCGCGATTAAGAGCCTAACTGGAGTGGCTGAAGCACTCCGGGGGAACTGGGATCTGGAATGCATGGCTCCACAGTTCCCAGCGAGCTGGCAGAGGGAGGAATGGTCCTGGGGCTGGAGGAGCCTGCGCCGTGCCCGCAGGGATGGAGAGGAGATCAGAGGCTGTGGCTCCAGCCTTCCCCAGCGAGCCGGCATCACACAGAGGATGTGGCAGCCTGGCCTACAGCTCAGCTGCACACCCCACCTACCAAACCTACATTTTTGTCTGCTCCCAAACAGACTTTCTGGCATTTTTCTGCGTCTGTGACTCCTCTTGTGACCCTGTGAACCTCCCTTTAAGTCAGCCCAAACAGTCTGTTTTCATTCTGCGATCGCCAAGGCACATTAATATTTAAGAGCCGTTGATAAGATGAAAGAGGAGCAATCCTTCTGGATGAATTAACGGGACATTTGCTGCTCTCCCAGGCTCTGGGAACAGCCATTCAGCTGACTGGCATTGAGAACATCTTCTGAATGGGGCTTAGACAACTTGCATATTCAAAAGAAAACAAAATAAGTTATTTAGGGAAAAAAAAAAAGTCTTCCTGTCCTCCAGGATTCCTGCTCTTCCTGGTGGGCTGGCTGGAAATAGCAGTACAGTCAGAAAGTTTTCTACTTTGGGAATACTGATTCCACTCTGACCCATGGCTTAAGCTGACTGAAGGATGGGAAAAATCCTGCAGAAGTATTCCTTGGGAACGTCATTCTTTCAGTTCACTGCATTTATGATTCTTGTGCTGAATTCCCACAAAGGCTGGAGTTGTAGCTGAGCTTGGCTTGGTGATTGGAGCTGGTTGTGAAAATAACTTTTATGCTGCATGTATGAGGAATGGGAGCTTGCAGGCACATGTGGAGTGGGTTACTTCACACAAATCATCCCGTCAAACCCCAGAGCAGCACGGGGATTATGTGTGAATAACCAAGGCAGCAGGAATTTCAAAGATGAATCAGTGCTGCTCTCATGCTAATTCGGGGAGAACCAACAAAGTAATTCAGAAAATAATTTAGGATAATTAATACATCTGAGAACTGTTGCAAACCACGAGGACATGTTCTGTGAGCAGTGGCAAACACAGCACATCCCCACAGTTTACTGCTACAAGAGCAGAGCAAATTCAACTTTATCAGCACCCAGCTGCTTAAATGACCTCTGTGACCATCCTGACCCAATTCCCAGGAGACACATCCCACTCTTAGGAAGCCAGCAGGGGTCAGATGAAGACTGAAGGGCAAGAACTCAGGAGACTGGAGACTTATTCCCCATGCAGTACCAGGGCTGGCTGAGGGATGGGGCAGGCAGCAGTTTGGGCTGTGGAGTCTGACCCTCAGTGCTCCCAGACACTGGAGCAGAGAATCTGTGCCCAGTGGTGTGGACAACATGGTCCAACACTGCCTACTCTGCCAGAGCAACATCCTTTTCCCTTTTTATTTTCTCCTAGCCACATCTTCTGGATAAGAAAGTACCTGTCATGACTGAGGTGCAGGGAAGGCAAGAGATGGAGACAGAAAGCTGATGGCAAATGACCTGACAGTTACAGAAACCAAACACTGGAATTTTCAGTAGGGCAGGGATGTACATTTTTTTTTGCAAGAGGGACAAAATCAGCCAGCAGCTGCCACCAAGCTTAAAAGCTTCATTCAGCTCTAACTAGCATGAGGCAGTACAGTCTGCTGTCTACTGCAAAAGAAAAAAAGAAAGGAAAACGTTATGGACTTACAGGGTTCCCATCGATGCCTGGAGGTCCTCGTTCTCCAAAATTACCAGGAAAACCCTGAGAAGAGGAGGCAAACATGAGTGTTAGTTATTGATGCTCCCTGGTGCAGACAGCCAGTTACAAACCACTCCCCTTGCACCCAGTGCAGCACTTTGGAAAGCAGCAGGACACGGGGACATGTGGGACAACCAGCCTGCCTGTCCTCATCCAAACCACTCCTGCCACACCAGCACAGCTCAACGAGGCCAAAACCCCTGATTCACAAACCCAGTGCAGGGACTATATAAAAAATGGATTGTCAATCCATTTGAATTATTTAGTGCTGTCTACTAACAGGACCCTCCTCTCAGGATAGCTGGACAGCACAAAGCCTCTTGGAGCCCATGCAGATGCTTAATGGAGCTGATGGGAGATGCCTGGTGAATTCACTCCCTTTCAGCTTGCCAGAGGAGCAAACGCTTCCAAACTCATTCCAGCCCACACCCCAGGGCTGTGAAAGGCCATGTTTACTACAGGAAAAAGTCACCACAAAGGACGACTTCATCTCATTATATCCGAGACAAGTTTGGAAGACTTCAGACAATTGTAGGGAAGGGAGTGGAGGTACTGAGCCAGAGCCAGAACACGGTGGTGTGACACGTTCTCTCTCATTCTTGGACAGATCCTGTGCTCCTCTAAGCCCCCCAATTCCCTGCTACAACCAGCTCCCAAAGCAGCTTTCTCTTCCCTGTCCTGCCATGCTCTGTCTCCCACAGGAAGAGCTCGAACTGGGAGTCAAAGCAAAAGTGCTTTGTCCCCTTCTCTGCTCACCAGAATACAAAGGACAGCATGGGCATGTTCTGGAGTACCTGGGAGCTTGAGAGACAGGGATGAAGCAGACAGGGAGAGGATGCTGTCCTCTCCTGCCTGTTTCCCTGTATGTTACAAACACTGGTTGTCTGAGAAAAGCAAATCTGAGGGAAGTGGAACGCAACAGCCAATGCTGACAACGCTTATCTGGAAACCCATCAGCAGCAATGAAAACTGAAATGATCACAGCAGACAGAGCAGGAAAACTACTGGGAAACTGTCCTCCAAGACCTCCCTTGACCTATGGGGGTTTACAGCTCCTGGTGAACAGAAAAGGTAAAAAGGTGCTTGGTAAAATCTAAAGTGAGAGATGGGAGACTTGTTTAAGTCAACAGAAATTCTGCTGCTGATATCAGAGCCAGCATTTCAGCTCTTCTGTACCAGCTCCCTACAGCACGAAGGACTGAGCTGACATGAGCTATTGCTTGCTTGGATTCAACACTTCTATTTTGTGGGAATCACTGCGAATAGGAAAGTTGTCTGCCTTTCTCCAGCTAGGCACTACATCCCTGAGGCCTGTGCACATGCCAAGAAACTGTGGTCAGCAACCACTGGAAACAGCCTTCTGCCATCTAGAGACAAAGATGTCAAATATAACAAGAAGGCAGGGGGGCTTACAATTTTCTTTAATGAAAAAAGGAGAAAAATAGCTCTGCTACATGCTGAATCAATCAGATCAGAAGAGAGATGTGCAGGGAAAACTCATTGCTCAGGCAAGGCCGAAAAAAAAAAAAAGAAGATTGCCAGAATATTTTGCTGTTTACAGTCATGTGGCTTGCCAAGGAAAATATGAGTGTGCATAGACTGATACTGTACTTACGCTGCTGCAGAGTTCAGTCACAACTTTCAGCATTGCCCCATCTCTCCTTCCTTCCTCAGAGAGCAGAGCTGGGCATGGAGTGGCCATGGGTGCCACTGAGCTGCAGCCTGGCCCTGTGGCTGCTGAGGTGTCTGCTATGGAGCTGAGCTCTTGCCAAAACAGGGAGATTTTACTGCTTTGAATGGCACAACGAAAACAATATTGCTACAGCAGCATAATATCAGCTAGGGGAATGCTTGCTCCAGACTGAAACACCACTGTCTGAATTTGGTTTAAAACTGTTGCAGTGTGACATAAACAATGTGCTCCTGTGCCAGAATAAAAGAACCCAGATAAGGAACTATTTAAATGCATATGTTTTGCACATGTGTTTCACTCTTTTTTTATGCCTCAGTTTCCAGCATTAACCTTGCTGCTTAAAGACAGGAAATTTGAGGTACTTGATGATAGAGTTAATAGAAGTCTAACTTTTACACAGGTTTTCCAGCACTGGATCTCCAAATACCTAGAAAACCAGATTATTCCAGTGTTTGGAAGGTGGAGCTGAGCACCTGAGGTCGCTTGGCCAATACCACCCAGCAACCAAGAGATTCAGCACTAAAACCTGTTCACAGCATGCTGTGACTGCCCACAGAGGTCAGGGTTCTGCCTGTCCTCAAGATGGCAAGGAAAAGGGTCAGAGTGGGAGGAAGCTGAGAAGAAAAGCAGAACAGGCCCAGGACAACACTCAGCACCCAAGCCCCATCCTTGTCATCCTTTTTTGTCCTTAACACACTATCTGCACTGCTGGCACAAGCAGCCCCCCGCCCAGCTCATCCATTGCTGGGGTGATGGGTGCTCCCCTGGTACATTTTGGCCCAAACTGTAAAACCTAGAGGAGGAGACAAATGGAAAGAGCAGCTTCAATTCAACTAACCCCAGGCATCCTAGCCCAGAAGTCGAGCTTAGCACACAAGCACAGTTTTTGCACATTAAATGAGGCTAAGGCTGGTGGCTGTGACATGGAAAAGGGCATTACAGCCTTCATACAGTCTGCAAAGACCCAAACCAGGTTGTGAAAGCTGTCCCAGCACAGCTCTTGCACAGCAGGAAACAATCAATCTTTTAAGCCCCTAATGAAAAAGAAAGCACTTTGTTTCCATGGGGTGAGCAGTAGCAGTTTAAACCACAATAACAGCTCCAGTGACCACAGTGTCCTAATTTATTGGATCTCACACGTCTGTAAAAGCTATTTTTTGGTGCCTCTCCTGCCTGAGCCTAAAGGAGAGAGATGTTCCCCAGGAACAGAACTAGCAGTATTCAACTAAAACAAGCAGCCCAGAAGTTACAAGCAGACTCTGTTATCCCACTGGTTTCACTCCCCTGAGCAGTGACACCTCTGCTCTCCCATGCACTGCTCCAAGAACCTAAGGAGCTCAGACTGAGGGAGAACACATGGGGCAGGAAGCTCATTTTATGGTGCTGGCAGACAGGAGGGTCACAACTGGCAGCCCATTACAGGAGACTTTTGAAAGAGATTAAAGAATCCAGCAGATTCAGAGTCTCCTGTGAGTGCGGAAGGGGTTTTGGTACAGAAAATCCATCATCTTACAGGGTGGTTTTTTTCAAGAAAACTAGTCCCTGGAAATTATGCTTAAAAATTGGGACAACAAAGGAGAACATCCCAGTGAAAAATACAGAGCCCTCTCTGTGGGAGGGATGGGATGTACAGAGAAGGACCAGGACAGGGAAGGGAATGGCAAATGGCAGCAGAACTAGGAAGAAAATGCTCGACTAACAAGTTGTGCTGGCCAGGAGCCATCAGGGTGCTCCTCCACAGCGCTCCAGTCAGGTATGACAAAACTTTTGGCTCTATCTCACAGCTGGGAAATTCAGAGAGGAGGTGGGGGAAAACGTCCAGCTGAATGGATTTCACATTGTCTGAAGGAGAAGTTCAATGAAAGAAGCAAGATGAGGCTTGGGGAGGAGTTGGAGAGAGCACACAGGCAGATGCTTTGCACTAACAAACTCTGGGTGCTCCTGTGCTCCCCTGTCCCCAGCCCAAACAGAGCTTTACAGGGGTTGCACAATTTGTCCTCGTTGCACTTCATGAACTGAGACACTGGGAGATGCAAACTGATTTATCCCAGGTTACACTGAGGGGTCTGCAGCTGAAGCAGTAATGAAGTCTCTATCTTTGAGATGTTCCAACAGCGCCTTAATTCCTTTTCATCCCCACTCCCTGCAAAGGGCATCCTTTCATAGACCAGGAGACTCCTGCTGAGAACAACCAGACCTAGACAGACACTGGAACCAGCTCCTCTTGCATCAGGGGATTACATCCCCCTCCACCTCCCCTTCCTTTCTTCCACTGCTTAAAGCAAACAGAGCAGCCTGCCCTTTCTGCTGGCTGCTGTCAGCCAAAGCACTGCTCCTGTCAGAGCAGACACCACTGCTCCTCGTCCCTTGTCCCAGCTGTCCCCAAGGAGCAGGGGCTGGTGACACACACGGTGTCCTTTGCTCCCCCGAAGCCCTCTCAGGTGTTCACGTGTGGGTGGGTGTGTTGTATGTGTACAACATCTGATTCAGTTTAAAGCACTTTCCCTGAAGGAGTAAGGGAGGCAGTCTGGCAGCTGCTGCTCTGAAGAATCCTGGCAGGTCTTCATGCCAACAGAATCGTTCTCCAAAAATAGGATTTTATTTTCCTGTTGGCTGAAGGTGAAGCTGCTCAAACCAACCAGCCCTCCTGTCTTGTCTGCAAAAGTCTCTATTTGCCAGTTGGCTCTGGCCAGGTGAATCACTGCCCAGGAGCCTCCCCAGGGATAGAACTTGCAAGTCAAATAATTTAAGTAAGGAAAAAGAAAAAAAAAAAAAAGGTGGTGGAGAAGCAGGGCTGAGGGTGAGAGAAAGCCTTCACTGGAAAAAAGAAGGAGAATAAAACAAACAAATGTAGCTTATGTTGGCAGCTCACACCTCTGAGAGAATTCCTGGTGTGGAGAGCAGACTGAGCCCCTCCACAGGTGGGCAGAGGGTGGCTCAGCCCCAGCAGGAGTCACCCCAAAGGGACCCTGTGCTCCTGCTGTCCCCAACAGCTACAGGGGACCTCTGCCTTCCCCTGGGTCCAGGCAGTTCTCATCCCTGCAGAGAGGGAGATGCCACCCCTGGCTGGGAATGGAGCGGGGGTCCTGCTGCAGCTCTGCTCCTCTGCCACCTGAAAAGAAGCTTTGCTTTCATCCCCAGGAGACTTCACAGCTCCGTGTCACCTCTTGGGACAAAGATTTCAGGGCATTTTTACACATAACTATCCCTCCAGCTGTGGGAGTACAGCAGGAGCAGCACAAGAAAAAATTCCTGAAGCCCCTCCAGCCAAACATCACTCGAGTGAAGTGCCAGCCCCTCCACACTCCTG